GCAAAGACTTTGTGATTATTAGGTCCTAAATATACTTCTATTATAAAACAAGGTGAGGGGTCTAAAAAGAGGATAGGACCTTTATTAGGTGTTGCACATGATTCCAGCCGTATGGTCCCTATTGTAGCTAGAGAAACTCATTTTCCAACACACTATCTTCTTTGGTAATTGTGCTCCTCATTTTGTAATTGTATTGCTTCTTTGGACAATATTGAGCAATATACTTAGTTTCTCCACAATATGAACACAATCCCTCTTGGTGATGTTGAATCTTTTCTTGCTTTGTGAGAGGTTTAAAACGTATCATATCAATTTGCATTGGTTCCGGCTTTGATGAATATGTTTCAAAAAACTTGGGAGGTGCCACCATTACTTGACTTGTTCCTCTCTAACTAAATTTTTATTCTTGATGTCTTTCAAATAAACGATTGTCCTATGCAATGGCTTGAGTAATAAATTATTCTAAAGATTCTACTTTTGGCATTGTTAATAATAAATCTTTGACGCTATCCTTCAATCCATATCAAAATTGGTTGATAAGTGCTTTGTCATTCCAGTCCACGTCACAAGCAAGATTTTGGAATTCGGTAGCATATGTAATGGCTGATCGTGATCCTTGTCATAAAGATAGAAGCTTGGTCTCTGCTACTCGTTTTCAATCACTTTCTCCGAATGTGGCTGTAAACACTTCTAGAAATGAATTCAAATCGTAAAGGAGTTGTGAATCTTTTTCCATTAAAAGTACAAACCAAGAGAGAGCATTTCTTGATAGTAGTGCGCCTATAAATCTAACTTGGATAAATCCATCAGGATATTGGAAAGAGTGCAACTTTAGATAGAACTTGACTTGTTGCAAATATCTTCGAAATTTTGATCTTTTTCCATCAAACTTTTCAAGCATACTAATCCTTGTCTCTGTCATACTTATAGAAGCAAAACTCCCTGGATTTGGTTATGACGTTGATTTACTTGCTTCTTTCAACTGCACAACTTCTTGTCGTAGACTCTGAACTTCTTCCATAGGCATAGGCATAGTACTTCCATGATTCTTGTTGGAAACATGTGAGATTTCCACTCTTAGAGTGTTGACAAGCTCATGAAGATTTGCTATAGTTGCAAATCTATTCTCACTTCTATTGAGAGTAGCATCTATAATCTTTCCTTCCATAGACAATTCAAACGAATTCAAAAGTTAAATTAGAGGGGAGGTAATCCACTGTCGTGTTCTAACATGACTATGTAGTGAAAATAAAAATGAAAAAGATATTATTAATATTTAGTCATCTTGGATGTTAAAAACAGTATCCAATTCTAGTGCGAATATTCAGGGTCAGTTAATGTCACCCACTTGTGTCATCGAACTAAGTACCCTCCGTACCAACAGGACAATCAAGATCATTTTTTAACCCTACATGGAATAAATCTAGTAGGTATATACCGGTAGAGACACCCAATATGCATGATGGGAGTACAAGAAGACCACTTTGTCATTTTTATTGCAGACAGGTTAGTCATTATGCTAGTAAATGTTCTAATTCCAAAGCCAATGATGATTACGCGCCAGTGTGAAGGAATTGCAAGTAGTCGAGGCATACTTATCAGCAATGTAATGCTCCGTCCAATTTCAATAAACGAGATCAGCAGATCCAAAGCCAAGGAAAAATTGAGGAGATAAATCAAGGTCCTCAAGATTCTCCGATAAATCGGGCGGAATGAGTCCGAGCCGTTCTTACCAAGAGTTGGCAAAAGGGAAAAGGACCAATTCAATATTCAGGTGAGTCTAATGTGAAGGGCCAATTTAACCCAATTACAGGGACATCCAATTCAAATCCTGATATGGGCTTCTTATCGAGTATGAGACCTGACTTGGTTAGACAACCCAATGAGGTTCCGAATACGGAGGCTTTGGTTCTATTTTAAGCTGTTTTATTCTCTATGCCATTTTGGAGGAAACGTCTTTTCTATGGAAAGATCCTCTTAGAAATAGGAATTCCAGGGAAGCGTCATTACCTATTCCAATTCGGACTCCATGGTGGGAGAAAAAAAGACCACACGAAGTTAAAAGGGAGGAGAGGATAAAGAAAAGGACATTCGGAGATCAGTTTTTTGGGATCAGAGAGCTAGCTTCAAGCTCCTTCGAAAGGTGTAGAATTGGATTTCATAGGGTTTGAGAGAACTTTGGCAATCGTTGCTGAAAGTCAGTGTTTATATAGGTGAATTGGATTTTTTGCAATAAAATAACGACTAGTACTCTTGACTGTTTTGTGAAATTGGAGAAACTTCTGTGGTTGAAATTTAGAAGTGTCTAGAGAGTTTAGTATGTCGAGTGCATGCAAAAGTTTGTATTAATCTGATGGAACAGATAGAGGATATTTGACCATTAGTATAAAGAGGTATCGAAAGTTAGCAGATTGGGATTGTTTAAGGTTTTTGTAATATCTGGAGATCTATCAGCTCGAATAAGATGACTTGTGGCATGGTAAGTCGAAGACTTATAGGCGGCGGTCAAGATACATCAATATGGATTAACGACATTTTTTTGCAACTTGTAAGTTAGATTGGATTGAAACTTCTTGAGCATTTAGAAGGCTTACAAAGACACTAGTTGTAGAAATTCATAACAATCGGACGGTCAGATTGAGAATTACAGCTTGTTGAAGTTCGTTGTCTAGAATTAGGGTTAAAAATAAAATAAAATTAAAATTAAAATTAAATAATAAAATAAAATAAATAAAAAATAAAAACTAACAAATAAAAAAAGAATTTGTGCTTATAATATCTTGAAGTTATTAAAAATATTATTTCTAAGCACTTTGTATTGGAATTAAGCTTTTACATTGAAATTTAATATAGTTTGTATTTAGATGGTTGAAACCCTAATTCTAGACAACGAACTTCAACAAGCTTGAAAACGCACAGGACATCTGACTGTGGAAGATAAAACAATGTTTTGCAAGTATCCATGTAGGCTAGTGGGTGTCAATAATAAAAAAAATACCTTCAATTGAAATCTAGTTTATATTCTTAATGCCTCTTCTAAACATTGTTGCCACTCTCCATCATCTTCAAGCAATCTTAAAACTGCATATGCACTTTTAAATGTTGGATAAAAAATTTAACATTTCACGATGTTAAACTTGGAGGCTTAATCACTGTAATTATCATTTTACTTATTCTACAAATTTCTTTCAAAATAAACCTATAAAGGAAGATTTGAACGCATGGAAAGACTAAGCACATGAATTCTAATTATTAGGGTCACACAATTAACCATATTCCAAACCACTGAAAATACCAAAGAACACCATAATATTTTTCACTTCCTAATAGTACTCTGTCATCATTAATAAGAAGAATGTGCAATCCCGCACTATCCTAAAAGACAGTAGATAATTCTTTCATAATCCAAACACTAGAATCCTTCACTACTAACTGTCCTTCTCAACATACTTCTTCACAGAATTCCAGACTCTACAGACTTCTTCTGATGAATCACTCTTTATTCCCTATATTCAATGTATTATAATCCTTCCATTCATATCCATTCTTTACAAATATTTTCAATTATTCTCTTACAATTCACCACTGTATAACTCAACATTCGATAAATAGAATTCTTCTTTTGACAATATCGAATCTCTTTTCATTCCAAAATATTACTTCATATTTTTGAGAAACTATCCATAACTCTTCGTCTACAAAGAAAACAAAATCTAAGAAATAAACAAAAAAAGAAGTAGCACCAAACTTACCTTGGCTCATAACTATCACAGTCTGGCCCTTAAACTAACTTCTACAACTCTTTTATATTTTTCCTTGATTTTCGAGATTCTAACCGTAATTTTGTAATTAACCACTTTTAGTAACTAACTCAATCATTTGTCTTCTTGAATTGCCTATTCTATGGACTATTAGTATATTTTACTAATATCTTTCAAAAATAAATTAATATCTATTCTACAATCACTTATGAAGATCTAGAAAATAATTCACACATTAAGTCAAGCACACCACTTGATTCATAGATAAGGAACACATGTTGGATAAAGACTACATATATAAGTATTGGAACCATAATGAATAGCTTGTTTTTTATACCATTCTTGTTGTTAGCAATCATGAACTTTCAATTCGTATTAGTGTTTTGCTCAAAGAAATATAGATTAAGCTTTATGGTATCACTATAATATTATTAAATAAATCACCATATTGTAGAACAACTATTTGAGTCACCCATTCCATTTCTTTTGCTATATACAAAGTATCCAAAGTATATAGAAACCATCAAAAATTATACTATGAGAAATATTTTATATAAGCATGAAACCAAAAAAAACTTGTTGAATTGAAATGATTGAGATGTAATCCAAAAAAAGCAAAGAAGTTAGAAGGATTCACCTCCTTCATTACTTCCAATTTCCAAACTTGCAAACAATGCAAAAAATCAAGAATTATTTCAATATTTAACTTTGCTTCCTTTCAATCAAGCTTTTACTTCCTTTTAATAATCTCAAATGGTTTCCTAAAAAACCATGCATAACAACAATGTCACACTACCATTAATTATTGAATCAAGAATCTAATACCAATTATAAAAAAAGTACAGAGAAAAAAGATTTCTTATGAGAAGGTTTCCACTATACAAATGACTTGTACTATACAACTTCTATTGCATATAGCAATGGGTAGATTTCTACTTGCAATACATTGTTGATTAAGAACCATGGTTTTGTTAAGGGCTGGTAAATTCTATACAACGTTAAGTTTTTTGATGAAAACCAAGAAGGGTGCATGCAATGAATGAGAGCCACCACTAGTCTCCTTGAGCTTAATACATAGATTAATAATATATAGATGCAAAGCTTTGTAAAACGATCTATGAACTTTGTAAAACGGCATGTGAACTCTATTAAACGACTTATGAACTCTAGAGAAGGTAAACATTTTTGATGAAAACAAAGACCCATCCATGCAACCATTGAAAACCACTACTTGTCTCCTTGAGCAATCTTAATATATAGATGAATCTTAAATCCCCACTGGTAGAATTCCAGGAAACATTCCTGGCCTTGTTGAACTGCATATAAAAGGTCAATGGAGAACGAGATTACGAAAAAGCTGGCATGGAACAATAGTCGTCTTGAGATAGCTAAGATATTGCTAAATATAGGGGAGGCAGAAGTCTGAATTCATGTTGGAATCAGATGAGCTTCTTCGCTGGTTCTACGCACTCAGGTTTGAGTTGATCCTTTAAGGATAGTGTCAGCTGTCTCTGTATAAATGCCCACAGGACCTGGGACTAGCATCCCGATTACGAAGCAACTTGAGTATTGTGATTCTACAGCAAAATACTCAGTTGCATCTGTACCTTTGATTTACATGTAACTAAAGTGGACAGGGAGACATCTCTAACGGATGTTAGGTGCTTGATTCTATAAACCCGTACGATGCCCAAATGATGAGACTGACCAATAAATATACCATGTCACCGACAGTGCTTCAACAGTGTGTTGTGCTTTGAAAATACTTCTCTGCATTTGCATTACATCGCAGATCCTTCTTACTTCACTAATCTTGAGGTCCTAGTTCACGATTAGAGCACAGCATCACACCTGCAAACATTGGCGATTAAAGCATATTCTCTGTTGACTTTCTCCCCGTTATTATGCTCATGTTCTAAGACTGCTCATGTGGCAATGTCCCACCTACGTACGCTCAGGATGTGTGGAGTGAGCCACGTGTGTGCCAAGTGCGACGATACCCAAATAAAGAGCTGCATTGCTTAGTCGTCGATAGTAGGCACTTTAGAAGTATCTGATAAAAGAAAGCACAATGTGAGACATTTGACCCAGTTTCTTAATATGCATGAAATATGGCATAATTCTCTGCAGCTGTAGCTGGTCCCAACTCTATTATGTGGTCAAGATTCACGGCAACATGTTTGGAACGTCTTCCTCCCCGTTCAGTACTTCGTGGGCATACGTTTTCCTTCAACCCCAATCACCAAGATTGTTTGTCAGACATTAAATATTTAGATTTTCAAAGCCTTCTACATATAAATACATGCAGACATGCCTATCTAAAGTCAGTATTTGAGTAAAACGTAGGAGTTTTGTAGCTGGTCCAAGGGATTGTGAAAAATTGTTTAGAACACTGTACTTGTGATATTCTCAAATTTCGGAAAATTGAATGAGCTGCACATACATCAAGCAGCTTCTTGATTAGCTACAGACATGAAGCGCTTAACTACCATTGTCAGCCTGATCGACTGGTGCAATGTACAATGGAAAAAAACCTGAATAAATTTATAGGTGATCAAGTTTTTCCCATGCTGACAATTATCTATTTACTCCTGCAAAGAACTGACTTCCATCGTTGAGCCGTTTGGTCCGGTTCTCACGAGAAGTCCATGTAGAGACCAAGACAGTCCTCTAAACCCTCTGTCCATCCTGTTACTATTGCTACAGCCGAGCCGGTTGGTTTGAGATAGGCTGGTGCAAAAACCCCTTCCGACGAAAGTCAGAGGAGCACTCGTTTACAGCTATCTCATAAGTAGTCAAAAAATTGTGAATGTTCTACCCTGGGAGTAGGACAACATCCTAGAGGAAGAAAGTCGTGATTTCGAGGTCACAATAAGCGCACCTTAACAATGAGGAAGAAGCTCACATCGGAGATACAGCACTCCCCGATCAAAATTCTTCCTAAAGGATGTGATCAAACACTCCAATTGGTGCAAGATTGACATACGAAGCCCTGATTCTATTGCCTGTATCCAGCGCTAAATTGGGCTCTGCTCCGTATTCCGTACTCTGTTAATGTTCCACATCGCTTGCAGCCCTACAGAACAAGAAACGTCAATCTAACAAAATTCTGGCAAGGCCGTAATATATCTAACAGAATCACTGATAACCATGAGCGAATTATCTCGACTTAGGTTTTCTCAGCTGGAGTACTAAAAAATTATAGATTCTCTCAGAAAGACAAAGGTGACAGTGTTAAGAGAAATCCATATGGTGAAATTTACTATAGAATAACCTCCGTGAACACATGCATCTCCTGTAACAGGCTTCATAATGGCATATCACCATATGTAGGATGCACTGTAAAGTTCCGCAGTTCACGTGCTGTTAAAAATTACAAACAGTACTAAAGAGTGAAGAGGGATGTTTCATGGACGAAGAGGAACAAACCTGGGCAGCGGAACCTATGGGCTTACTACAGCCTGTACACATCTGATGACCTTTTCCTGCTTTAGTGGATGGATGTGGTGTTTCATATCCAAACATTGATGCGGGGGATCTGCTGGAAAGATTAATTAAGTCGGTTGACCGCAGCAGATCTTCCCCCCCATTTGACAACTCCTTTCCTGAAGTTACAGACTTGCATTTCTTATTCAATACTAATTGTGATGCCTTTTTCTGCATTTGCCCGTAAGCTTCATTCCATGTCTGAGGCTGTTTGCAGTAGCTATCCTCTTCCTCAGATGGAATAAAAGGGGGAATCCCAGAATCACTGTCATACGACTCCAGTTTACTAACAGTCTCACTGCCTGCAAAGTCTAGGACGACATTTTAAACCGTTAGAATTCATGTTTTCGAATAAAAGAAAAGGTTCGTCTCACTCAATCTGCAAGTACAAAAATATAATGAGGTGTAGTTAAAAATTGGCTGCCTCCTCCAAGTAACAGTGTTTGGTCTGGATGATTCCACATCATACTAGACTGCGCTCACAGCAACCATGACGAAGATACATACCTGCCTCTGACAAGCCTTCGAGTAGTCTATCCATCTCATGATCACTTAATTCTTGTGGTGCATTGCAACGGGCCCTACAAACATTTAATATCATATGATATTATATAGTGTTTTTGAAAAAGGAACACGTTACTAATACTGCTCAAGTTCTCTAAAATTCAAAAAAGAGAAGACATGCACAACTTAGAGAATACACTACTGAAGTAGTGAATCAGCTTGTCTGAAAAAATCTTCTCAAAGGTAGATAAAAAATGGTTACTTAAGTCCAATTAGCACCAACCTCCTCGAGTCCCACTCATTATCTGAACAAACCCATCTTGCATGCACGAATGCATCAGCCGGGAGTCTACGCCAGCATCCACAATCATCACATTGCACCCATTGGTCGTCCCTGAACAAATTCAAGTTATCCGTTAAAGAACATATAACACGTAATACTTCTTACAATACAAGAGCGCTCACTACTGAGAGAGATGCGCCACGCTGGAATACAGAGTGATATGCGCAACCCAAGTAATTCGAGGAGCATCTTTCCCAAGATTCTTTACTGGTGGCAAAACCAGGAGGATTGCATATGACACATCCCGTGTAATTGGGAACTTCATAAAGGTCTCTACTTAGTTGAGAATGACTCAGAAGGGGTAAATTGATGCTCCGTAAGTATTTTAGAATTGAGCGTTACAGTAACCCTACTGTTTTCATAAAAACATACCTCAATTTCACATACAACCAAAAATAGAATGTAGAGTCTTACTCTTGAATCTCAGCACTGTAAAACGTTTTCTTGATAAGAACTGGAGGCTCCTGCTTTGCCACAAATTCAAAGTTAAACGAATACGCTTAGGCCAACAATTATCAGATTAAATACAAGATGCCAAGCACAAAAGAACACTTTCCATTCTGATTCTTGGAAATTTTATGCTTAGGTAAACTCAAATATATCAATGAGAGCGTGGTGTTCAAGGTGCACAAAAGTAGCATGACCTAGTACCAGAAAGAGTAGACAAAATTACCTTGTACTCTTCAATCTCATGGCCTTCAACACAAGTGTATGTTGCAATAGCGCCAGGAGGTGCCCGAAAAAGATCCTGAATATCCTCCCATTCATAATAGTCCTCCATGGTTAATCCCAGCCTCTTTCCTCTTGAGCTCTGTGAACCAGGTTTCATGTTAATTTGCTCGGAGGACTCCGGAGTGATGGATCGTCGCTTTCTTGTTGCTACAGCTTCGCCGGTCGCAATATGGTCTACTGATTGAGTATCGAAACTAATCGGAGGGGGTGAGGTCAGCCTCATCATTTTTTTCTTATCGGTGGATTTGCATAAATCATAGTCAACGCTTGCATCATCTGTAGAAGGTGTTGCAGGATGGTCTTCAAGTAGAGCACCGTCGTCCAGCAAAGATTTCCCCTCCTCAGAAGAAACTTTAAGATCTCTGCTTGATAGCACTTTCGCCTCAAGCTCGTTCTTAGGCTTGATAGCTCTGCCATGCTGGTGGGCAAGAAAACCCTCCGTTAAGCAATACACAAGTCTTGTAATGAACCTCACCCCATTGAACCACCAATCACTCTCTATTGTATGCCTATCAAATAAGTGCCTTCCAAAATTCGTAGCTTTGGACATTATAATTGTATTTTAAAATGCAAGACGAGTCTCAAGAGCACCAAGTACATTCTCTTCCTTTTGAATTTGGACTAAACCAGGAACGCAACTCAGAATGCCAAAAATATAATTTCGGGCTACGAAAACACTGGATGATACCCACAGGGTTGTGTTGACTGGTGAACCGGAACACAGCTATTCTGAAAGGATTGGGCTGACGCTTCATGTTGCAAGTGATAAGTATGTGCTACTTTCCCGGCTTAACAACAAAATTTCAAACCCAGACCTTCAAGATAAGTAGATACAAGATCTGCGAATGAGTTTACCTTTGGAGAGGCCAGTTTTTGTTTGCGGACGCCCATGAGTAACGTTCCCTCAGGTTCCAACCTGCTGAAGTAGACTATATCCAAAAATGTAGGATAACAATAAGTACTAAAAAGAAAGAATTCACTGAAAGACCATCCATGAAATGATCATCACATGTCGTGAAGCTGAAATGTCAAGGGATTAAAAGACAACAACAATGAGGTAATGATGTATGCCGAGTTAATCTGTACTTAAAACCAAGGATAACAAGGAACTAAAAGGTAAATCCAGGTGCAACCGACTTAGAAATAACTATACCTGTGTCACCACCCCGTAGATTTGTTGCTTGAACATATGGATAAAACCTCTTCAAGTAATAGATCCGACTCTCTTTACTATACCAGAAGCAGAATTCAAATGACCATTCCTTTCCTGCATCATCTATAAGTGTCATCCAGACGCCCCCGGGCTTGGAAAGTGGGGGAAAATGTTCCTGATGCGAAGTTTAATAACAACAGTAATGAGTTTGTCGATCATACAGCATAAATATCTTCAAAAATATACATACAACCACTTCAAGTAATAGATTATGTAGTACTTCAAGGGACTTACCTCCACTTTTCGTTTCGGAAGAACAAAATGACCAGTGCTCCTACAGTCGGTAGCACTTACCACTTTATCAAACAAAAAGGTAGTATTCGCAGCAGAGCTGATAACCTTGTCAAGGACAAAATGTATGAAAGGCCATGGTCATGCGGGCAGGGAAGACGACTCCAGCATTTTCAATCGATGCAACATGTTGGATATGCTCCAATTTAATTCAATCATTCAGAAATATAAATAAACCATCAATATACAAGGCATAGTGGATACAATTTCCCTGAGATAGGTAACAGATTTGGGTTGGTGCTGGAAGGAGAGTTGATAGACATCGAGCGTGGAACAGTCGAAACCCCAGTCCTTCCCTTTCCATTTAAAACCTCTGAACACAAGCAGTCATACAAGAATAAATATAGGACCAAGCAGCTTACTGAACAACAGAATGATGTTTCACGAAGTCTGGAATGATCAATGAATTATACAATATTCAGACTTTCTTACAACGCCTTACATAAAAGATGCCAAACGGTTCCAAGCTTCAACGTGATTTGTATCAGGTTGAAATGTGGAACTTTACTGACAATGCAGTAAGTTATAAAATGCAATGAACTCTAGCAGCTGTTAATTTATCAAGAATAATTATCTCAGAAGGAGAGTTCCTAAAACTCGCTCAAATATGGCATGTTCTGAAGCGAAGTTACCTAAACCAAGTAGAAGCTCGGTATCCTCTCTTTCATCACTGGGTCTCTGCTCCAAACAACTTTGTGCTTGTTGGTGAGTAACTGTTAAATTCTTGCCCAACACGCATCCTACTAGTAGACTTGTTCCACCTGTATCACATGCGGAAACCAACGTGTATGCTATATGGAAGATGATCAAATTTCAAAAGTAAGAGGTTAATATTCAGTTGTTCAAAGCTTTGAAATGGCTACAATTCATTGATTATAGTTCTTGAACTGTAGACCTGAATAAATAATTCGGAAGACAACGAACACCTACCAGGAATTTGACAGGTAGACGCCGTTGTCGCCAAAGCACTTGAACTTCTCTTTGCAGCTCCTCTCAACACATGAATACTAACCTTCTTCTCCGCTGGCATCTCTTCCCAAAAGATGATTCAATGGAGTTTGACAGTAATTCATGCGTCAATGGGGTTTATCGCAACAAGAAAGGGACCTGTAAGTATCTGCCCTTATTCAAAGGGCTCGAATGCTTTGGGTGTCCGAGCTTTTAAATAAACTCTTCACGGCTACGATGATCTTGTACTTCAGATGCACCTCAAAAGACTCGGTAGATATATTCCAGTGGACTGCAAGGACAAGTACATTTCAGCATGGAAATTACCTATTTTCTCAGGGTTTCTATATCCTAAACAAATTTTCGATTCCTAACACGTGACAAAATAGAAACGTACGTTGCCCTACTGAACTGCTTGTCAAAAGGAGCATCACATCTCTCAAAGGGACAGTAGAAATACTGAGTGCTACTTTACCTCGAATGAAACGGGAGAGCCTCCTGAAAAGCATGCAAAGCGAACATTCTGAACAGAACGCAACAGCTTTCTCTGTCCTGATCAAAGCTACATTGTATGCACTATTTCAGACTACATCAAATAACTCAGCCAATTACCGTGTTGAATTCTTGTTGAACATTTATGTTATCTCGAAATGTTCTCATGTTGTACCATAATTATCAAGAATGAAATCAAGATCCAAGGTCCGCACCGATTGCGAAGCACGAGTAATAAGGAGTCAAGACTGATCATGCCACTCATGCTATCACAGAGACATACTAGGTTCAATAAGCATGAACATTTAAATTCATGTAATAAAACTTAGCAGAAACCCATAAGAATGTGGTTTCGTATCTGAATCTCAGACACTCGCTTGTGAGACATTAGATTACCATCACAAACGGGTTAGCCAACCTCCGGTCCTCTCAATTGGCTTTAGGTCGGTGTATCCATTATCGGAATCGAACAGCAGGACTTGTCCAAGAACTTGTGCTAAAGAAGCATAACTTACCCTGGCTAGTTGTTCGAAGTTTCCTACATTATCCATTCCGATTCAGAAGTTCCGAACATAAACACAATGTATGCGACGAAAGTTCATTTTGGGAAACTTAGCGAAAAGAGTAGAAGCTTCGCGAAAGAAAGACGACAGCCGCAACAGGCAGCGGAAGACACAAGGTATTAGCGAAAAACACTTCTGTCCTTATTACGATAATGATCGACATAGCACAACCACAACCTAACGTAAAGATATTAAATACAACACAATAGAATCGATATGAACTGTGAGTAACAGTACCGTGAACAGCTCTGTAAGGTGCAGGACTTCAGGATGATCGTATCTGATCGCTTCTAGAATCTAGACAACCACCACATTGCCCGTGCAGAAACGCCAAGAATATCACAATCGGCTGAGCAATTCGAAGGGAATACGGTCACACGTGCGGCGGACGAGATTAGTCAGCGCACGAGAACTTGGAGCTACAGCCTCCTCTCCATCATGCAAATTCCAAAAGCTTCGCGGAAAGTCTGCGCCAACCGAGACAGCACCGCGACAAAACCAACACGTTCCGATCCCGCAAAGAACAGCTCGCACCTCATCTATCTACGGGCCAAGTACACCACAATCCCATCGCTCCTCATTCCCACCAACTTACACACGCCAAGCCACGCCTCGCGACACCAATTCCTCAATTCCGTTCTACCAGGTACCATTGCAAGCAGCCAACCACTACTGTTGCAACATTAGTCACAACGCCATCGTGATCGACGTATGAGAAGAAGTACCCCGCCCGGTGCACGCCACCCCCGAATCGGCCACCACGGAACGAGAACCAAAAACCATCCCAGCGCCTGCTTCAAAAAATGCCGAAACCTAAAAAAGAAACCTCCACTGCGTCGCGCTCATCAACTCACTCCAATCGCTCAATTACCCAAACTCACACCTCCCGCAATGACGATAGCGATGGCAATTCGCATGCGTAATCGTTGAGAATTGTGCAATCGCAATCGCACTAACTAGCATAGTTACTAAACCACCCCCGCCTTCTTTCTGCAGCAGCAAATCTCATTAACCCCACCCCTCCCTAACTTATTCAAGTAGATTCTCAACTCCAACACCGAAGCTTCACTTCCGGGAGAGGGGGACGATCTGAGCCTTCGGTTTAGGTGGATCGACGGCTGCAGGGCGCCGAAGCAGGCTACCAGGTGGGTGGGGGAGGGGCCCGCGGGAATGGGCGGCGTAAAGTTTATAGGAGTGGTCGCAGCAGGAATTAAGGGAAACGACCGTTATTGAAATGCGACAGGGCAGCCTAGTCTCCGGGAATGAAGAGTTCGTCCGTAGCGATGTTATTCTTGGGCTCTCTCCTTGTGGGCATTTCCGGGGAATGCAGTGGGCCCTTGGAACATTTTTCACAATGGCCTTCCCTGCCGCTCTATGGTCCTGTCAGTGGCGCCCCCGCTCTTGGATTCCGGTCCCCCCTCCGATTGCCTAGTCAGATATTGCATTTACTTCCTTCCTTTCTTCCTCCCTCACGTCTCCTTCGTCGCCTCTTCCATCCCCTCCATCTCTGGATTCTGCTCCCTGCACAGCTCCCTCGAAGAAATTCGAAGCACTCTTCTACAGTCTCAAAGGGTCTTTCCTCTGTAGCGTTTATGTCAGTATGTGTTGTTGCTCAAATAGGTGGAGCAGATGACAAGACCACACCGGAGTTCAAATGAGTTCGAGCCTCGTCCAGAGTTGTTGACTTGTGCTCCAGCAGGGGTCAAATGCAGCTTCTCTGTGTTGGTGCCCAGTAAGGTACTTTCGAGTGGAAGTGGGCAACTTGGGGTTTCGGCCCTTGTGATTCGGGAGTGGCGATCCATGTCCTGCTCTTTCTTCAGTCCGTCCTTCTTCTACAAACCTTATGGGTTTAATGAAGTACACTGGTGGTAGTGAAGGAGAAGAAAACCTGCCATCAGAGCAGCAGACTTCATCCTGTTGCAGGCTAGCTTGTTCTTCCACCTCCACTGCAGCATTGGCTTCCAGCTTGTTTGTCTTCAGATCAGGTTTGAATCCTGGCAGGAACGAACACATTAATCGATATTCAAGAGCATGGGTGCATGGGCTGTGTGAGACACTGTACAGGTAATCAGTCATGGCATCAGATTTAATGAAGAATAAAAATAAACAATTAACTACACTTCAATGGTTTGAAATATGTGCCTTGAAGAAATTCTTTGTGATCTAGTGTAAGGGACAGGTGTTGCATGTAACTGAGTCCAGACCATCAACACATATATGTGCAATAATTATAGTCTATGGATTATGATTGAGCACATGAAAAATAGAATAAATAAATGAAATGTTGCCCCCCCCCTATCAGTATATTTAAATCTCTGGGTGCAAAGATCCACTGTAAGATAGAAGATAAGCAAACTATCTAACTTGTACAACAGGTCTAAACATCAAATTCAATGTAATTGAATAATTTCTATAGATAATTGTATGTACTTATATTTCAAGTTGATGTTTCCATGCATCAAAGCAAATAATAGCAGAATTTGAATGTTGAGTGGCAACAACAATCATGAAATATCAATGGTATGCAATCATGATTGTTATAATAACAAAAGTTTTTTTTTATAAACAATGAAATATATATATATATATATATATATATATATAAACAAATAAATATTAAAATAATTTTATATTCATGGGTTTAATTGTAGAGAAGAGCTCATACTTAAAAATTCTTTGATCCAAAATTCATAATTTTTCCTACGGTCCTGTAAAACAGAAAAAATAAACATAATAAATTAAAGTAACAATTGTAGTTATCTATAGAACATTATAAGTACTATTTATAATATACAAAGTTTAGAAGAATTTATATATATATATATAAATAATTTAAAATACTAGTATGCTAAAAATCTTTGAATAGTGTAATTTTACCAAAATTTTAAATTAATTAATAAAGCAAAGATGAAAGAAGAAAAATTTTAAATATTTTGCATGCAATATTCAAAAAAACTTAGTATGACTTAATTTAATTTAAATAAAAAATAAATAATTAGCAAGGTTATTTTGTAAAATTGGAATTAAAGTTTTTAGAATATAGTTTTAATAATTTTTAAAAACAAAATATAAGAATTTTCTTCACATTATATTTATAAAAAAATGAGATAGATCAATACATACAACAAATAGATGCAAATACATTTTATTTTGCAATCTTAATATTATTGTCTAAACTTTAGAGTATCATGTTGAAAATCATATTTTCAGTTCATGTAAATTACTAATGAACAAATCATTAATATAAAATATATTAATATTAAAAATAGTAATTCATTATTATTTATTATAATTAATTTTACTTAAATTTTATACTTAATAATTAAATAATTCAAAATTTATTGAATGGACTTAGAGATGTTATTATATTTTCATTGAGAATATAAATTAATAAATAAAATTACTTTACTAGTAAATTTATTGAGATCAAATTCTTAATTTTTTAAAAAATAGTTGAATATGGCCAATTATTTTAGCTAAAAAATACTTTAAAATAATAAGTAATAATTTTATAATATTACCAAGATTAATTTCAATTGTTTATATATTATAACTCAAATGACTTTAAAATCATGATACAAGGTAAAGTTGTTTTACATTTTGACAAAAATAATAGTATATTAAAGGATGTTGCACCTTATATAGTTTATTTATTATATGAAACACCATGTAATAGATTCTCTTGTTACATGTAAATCGTACTATAAAAATCTTTAGAGAATCGTTGTAAATATGGTATCTAAGACAATAGATATTATAAGAATTAATTTGTAATATATATATATATATATATATATATATATTTTTTAACTATATATTTTTTAAAATTTGACTTTTTTGTGTTTCTTTAAAATCATGTTGATGGTAACAAAGCAAGTTTTTATTTAATGTTGCATAATCAAAATCACTCTTCCAAGTAGTTTTCAGATTTTTAGGCTGGCCTTTAAAGTCCATAAAAACAATATATATATATATATATATATATATATATATAGTTAATATTTTACTCGCATTATATAAAAATATTATGTATTTTACCATTTCATGTTCTCAAGTCACTTTAACAACAAAATTTATATTTGTAAAAAAATCTTCATGCTTGCTAATACTATATAAAGAACTGTTTATCTAATTAGTTTACTTTCAAATTTTATCAATTTAATTAAGTAAAAAATAATACTTTTAATTCTATTTTACAAAATTCACCATAGTAGTAGTAAATATAAGACAATATGTTGTAATTCATTTGAAAGCTAAACGCTGTTGACTTTACTATGCAAGTGAATCTATGGAGTAGTTGTGTTTATATAAAATCGTTTAAATTACATTCAATGATGAGTGACATTGGTAAAGTGATGTCTCTACCCAGCTAATACTATTTGAATGGTAGCCATAGGATGTCAAGAAGAGTCACAAAAGGCAGTAATTGTTAAGGCAGTGACACCTTCAATTACAATTAATTTACCACAACAAATAGTGTCATTGCAAAACCCTGATCAAGAAAGATTTGTACCAAAAAATATATTTAAGCAAAAAGTATTTATAATATGTAATATTTAAACCTTAGTTTGTCTAATTTATATTGATGCTAAAAGATTCTTTGGACATGCACTCTTTTGCTCACCTAAGGAATATACTAAATTAAGAATGATCAAAGATTAGTGAACAAGAGTAATTTTATATTATTATTATTATTTTATATATATACATATATATATACATATATATATACATATATATATATATATGCACACACATACATGTATAATAAACTTCTTAAAATGATATAAATAGTAATAATAATAGCAATATTAATAATAAATAAAATAAATGGTGAATTTGGTTGAAAGTACTTCAGATTTATTTTATTTTATTTTATTTTAATGACACTACATTTAACAACTACAACAATATAAAAAATTATAGTCCCCTTGTAAAATATTACTTGTTCTATATTTTAAAAACATTAAGAGTATGTGTTTATGAAATAGGATTATTTAAACAATAATGTTTTAAATTAATCTATCATATAAATTTGACAAAGGCAAAATAGCAGAGAAGAAGTTTTTAAATAAATTTAAAATATAAATTATGTCTTTTAGTGAGTATTCTGATATTACTAGTTTGATTTTGTGACAATGTTCTTGTGAATGTTTTTGATAGTTTTATATTTATATATATTTTTTTACATATGCAAACAGAGCTCATATTTTTTTACTACAAAATAAAAAATACATTATTATAATTTTCAAACATATATAGTATTTTATGTTCTAAGACCTAGTTCTTGATTAAAATTACAATTGTCTAGTATGAGAAAAAACTATTTTACAATTGAAATCCCTACAACTGGCTAAATCATTTATGTATTTTAAATTTCATACATTTTTAAATTAAAGAATATTGTGCATGTATATATATATATATATATATGTATATATAATTATTATTGATAATTGTGAATTTTCATTATATTTGATGTATTAATATAATATTAGAAAATATATGAAATTCCAAAGTTTGTTGATTTGTGCTTGGATATTTGTGATCTGGTGGCTTATTTTCAATTCTGTATTACCTAGACTGTCTTGATGTTTTTTACAGCAATTAAATTTATTTCTATTTTTCTATATTTTTTAAAAAATAGAATACAAAATCATGTGTTTGTTTTGTTGATGAAACTATTGAATTCTTTCATGTATTTTTTATTTATAAAAAATAATACGTTTCTTTTTTCTTTCTTTCTTTCTTTCTCTCTCTCTCTCTCTCTCTTTTTTTTTTTTTTTTTTTTTTTTTTTTTTCATTATTTTGTAAATTGTACAAGTATTGTCTTTTTAGGATACAATCTAGATTTATTTATTTATTTTAGATATTTTTTAAAATTATAATTACAGAAAGTATTGTCTGTAAAGTATTTATTTTTGTTTCTTTTTGTTTTTCCATCTTATAACAGTGTGTTTAATTTGAAAAATATTACAACCATTAGAAAAAAAGTGTTTATTAAATTGAGACATGAGATGGATGAGATTCCATTGGCAAATGCACCACAATCAGATGTTTCCAATATTCAAGATTATTGTATTCCTATTGCTGGTGAAAAAACAAAAGGTGATCCTTCTCAATAAGGCACTAAATTTGTTATTTTAGATTAGAAATTCATAGTAAGTATTTTTGTCAACAAATGATTGTTTTAGGGTTCAACATGCTGTATATACTTTTATATTTTTGAAATATAAATTAGTAACATTATTTTATATCTTTTCAATTTAAATTATTAGGTATTTTTTATATCTTTTAAATTGTCAATAATAAGTACTTAAGGATATTCAAATGATTTTGTGAATATATTTTATATAGTTTGCTAAAATATACTTTAGTGTTAATTTTTTAAAAACATTGTTCAACATATTTTATAAAAAATAATGAATTGATGTCAGGCTGGGAATAATGCATTTTGCACCATCCATTAATTGAAATCTAAGAAGACATGATCTTCAATATTTGAGGATACAAATTAAAATTAAGTTTGGTTCTGATTTTATTTTTGTTTTTGTTTTTGTTTTTTTTGTTTTTCTAAATTTGAAAAGTATACTTATAAAAATCACATTAATTCAAGGTGCTGATTTCATTATCTTTAAATATATATATATATATATATGTTGGCAATCACACATACGCACACATATGCATGTGGGTGTAAGTTAATAAGAAAAGAAGAATGCAAACAACAGTGGATTTCACGCCACAGTGTAGGATGTTAAAGGCCAACTGGAATATTTTATTCGAAGGGTTTTGTTGAATCACGATGGATGTAGTGTGAAACCGATTATTATTGAACGAAGAGATATGATGGGGAGGCTGTGCCCTAATATGGTTTTTAGTTTTTGCAGAACAACGTGTTCGGCAGGCACCACAGTCCACGAACAGCGAGGGCCACGGGATATCGCTGAGGACAATTCTGCCTCGGGACCGTTGTTTGCTTGTCTCAACGGCATCGTCATTGTTGTTCGCATGCATTGATCGGATTTCCATTAGCTTCATAGCTCTGAAGTCCGGTTTGGAGAGTGGCGGATTTTGGATTGTAAGGTGTCCAGAAGAGGTAGTTGCAATGGTGTCTGCTGAGGCAGACGTGACTGTGGAGCAAGGATTCCTCGAGGTTGTGGGAGACCGGATTAAAGATGTCGATTCTATCATTATCGACTACGTCGTGAAAGTTCTCCAGGATGAGACGTTCGATTTTGGACCCGAGGGGAAGGAAGCGTACGATGCCGTTGGCGCGCTCCTCGTCGCTGCGGAGCTGGTCGACGATGAAAAACAAGCGAAAGTGGTGAGGAATTAGGATCTATGGTCTTACGTTACGGCTTTAAGCTTCACTAGCATGTCGTGTATCATTCATTACGTGGTATTTAAATGTTGCTCTCTCTCTCACACACAGATTCTTTTTTTTCTTTTCTTTTGTTTTTTTAATCTTAGACTTTTCGTCAGCAATTGCTGACATTGGTTGATCCTTCGAGGTTCCCGTTTGACCCGTAATTTTTTGGATTGAATTTTATTCCAAATCTCAAAGTCATGGAATGTTTTGGATGTGATTGTCAGTTGGCTTAAACCTGAAAGATCTCAGCTTTGTGTACTTGGTACTTCAATCTCTTGTGTTCGGGTTGAAGCAGAAGTCACCTTTAGTTAGGTGTTGGACTAGGCGATTTCTTTGGACATCATCGCTCGAGTGACACTTGACTGTCGTTATGACGATGCCTGCGTCAATATTTTGATAATAATTAATTACATATGACTCCCTTGGTTTGAAGGATGTCAAGAGATTTGACAGAATTGTGGAAGATTTATTTTAGTTAGAATGTTGATCCCCGCGCACCATAATAAGAGACCAGGGATATTTTAACCGGGAAATTCTGAGTACATATTAAGATGGAATTTTAACTTCTTCCTTCAGTGTTGTGAGCGTCAAGGTGATCAGTCATCTAATTGGCTGTACGGATATGCTAGTTTATTTTAAGTGTACCTCTTTACCGCTCTGCAACGTTTTAGCCAAGAGAAGGCAATGTAAGCATATCATTTTCTTTTGCAACAATTGCTTTAACCTCATGCAGGCATTCCTAATTGAGCTTTGTACTTCAGCTGTGTGCAAAACTTGCAAGCCGCTTTGGTGCTCGAGGAGGCGATAAGTCACAGGAAAGCTTTCGTAAAATGGCTGCACCTGTTCGCATGTCAGATGGGATGGCTGGATCTGCACCCGCGGCGAAACTTGAGGATCCGCAAACATTACCAGAAATTTCAGAGAGAGACTTGGCCAAGATTGAACGACGCAGAAGGAAAGAGGAGCGTCAGCGTCTGGTATCATTTCACATCAGTAAAATATTTCTACAATGTCGTCGTTTGCTCATTGGAGAAACGCAAATGAACCCGGATCAGTGATCTGTAATGGGCTCAGCATTTCAGCTTTTGAATTGTGACGTATGTTTGCATGTCTACCTTTCAGCAATAGGTTGCAAGAGATGATGAGACTGAATTCTTTCCTTACACTGGCATTGGCATTGGCATTGGAACAGGCCGATTATCAGGCCCACGTGGCTGCTGCTGAGGCAGCTAATGTAGGCATGCCTGCTGTCATGGTAAATCATGGTGGTGTTGGTGAAGGAGCTGTGGCGAAAGATATACGCATGGAGAATTTCAGCATTTCCATGGGAGGTCGCGAGCTTATCAACGAAGCCACAGTCACCCTTGCACATGGCAGGCGCTATGGTGAATATAAACTATTTCCTTCGTACCGTTGCTGCGACTGCTTCTAGTTCAGTTTCCATCGCGCTTGATCATGTGTTCGTAGGTCACATTAGTCCTTCTATGAATATGAAGTGTTCCTTAATTCATATTTGTTTGGTGGGATCAGGTCTTGTTGGCAGAAACGGAACAGGGAAGACTACGCTATTGAAGCACATGGCGATGCATGCTATAGATGGCATTCCGCGGAATTGTCAGATTCTGCATGTGGAACAAGAGGTCGTGGGAGATGACACTACAGTTCTTCAGTGTGTTCTGGATTCAGATGTAGAGCGCAAGCTGCTAATGGAAGAGGAGGCTCAATTGGCTCAGCAGGTCTGCTGCTTGGTTCCTTAAAGTTCATGTATGGCCTTTTCTTATAGGATAATTCTTATCGATCTGGATGTATACAATCACGACACCCTTTTAATTGAGGATTCTGTGTTGCAGAAAGCAACAGTGCCTACATCAACTGAAGGCACCACATTAGTGAAGGCTGATGGAAAGATAGCAGAAAATGCGGGTGATAAGGAAGATCCTGTGTCTGCTCGGCTTGCACAAATTTACAAGAGATTAGAGCTGATCGATGCCTATTCAGCAGAAGCCCGCGCTTCCGCTATTCTCGCTGTGAGTATAGTCTGTCTTCGGATGCTTTCTGCCTAGGGTTCTTAACACCACAAGTGAAGTATGGTGCTCTTTTGAACTGATTAAGGAGTCATACGATTTGTGATCATGAGAATGTCAGGAAATTGTACAGTAAAAAGTTGAGGTAATAGACTGCTGTGTGTTTGAATCAACTGGAAATCGTCTGTTGCAGGGATTGAGTTTCACAGCAGATATGCAAACGAGGAAAACAAGGACCTTTTCAGGAGGTTGGCGTATGAGGATTGCATTAGCTCGAGCTCTATTCATCGAGCCGGATCTACTGCTTTTAGACGAACCTACGGTAGGTTTACGTATATTTAATGGAAAAAGTGATTCTATTGGTCTATTGCTTGCTTAATTACATTATTTTTGAGGTATCGTAAACATCTCACGATTAAAGTCGTCAATAAGCTTTCATTTCTTAGATAAGGTAGTTACCACTGTTTGCTCCTTTTATTAATAATGAAGCAAATGAAGTTACTCTTTTCAGAATGCTGGTAAACATGTCTCTTGGTTAGAACATGTAGGCTATTTATGACAGAGTCATCTTTGTGTTGTCTGCTACGTTTAAGTTGTCGTTATCAGTGTCAGTCATAGTCTATTAATAATATCTTCCCATGAACCTCTCACTACGAGAGTACTGGATCCAGTAGGGGTTTGAACGGCATCTCTGAATCAGTCACTGGGTTGATTTAACTCACTAATTTCTAAAGGGGTTTGTTTGGCCTTGCAGAACCATTTGGATCTGCATGCAGTGTTGTGGTTGGAGTCTTATTTGCTCAAGTGGCCAAAAACATTGATAGTGGTGTCCCATGCGCGTGAGTTCCTAAATTCGGTGAGTGGATTCGGTGGTGTCCCATGCACGTAAGTGCCGAGATGGATGTTTTTAGTTCTTTCCTAGCTTTGGACCTCCGTGGTGTGGGGTTGCTTGTGACTCAGGTTATTTCTGTCCAAACACGTTTTAAATCACTTACATAATTCTATGTCGTGTCGATCCCCGCATGTTTGGTAACATTGGACTTACGTTTTTAATAACTCCAGAGGAGATTTTCTTGCCAGAAGCACTGCCGGAGCTGATGTGAATTTCTACACAGTCTAAATTGTTCGGGCAGAGTATAGTTGTACATCATTAGCAGCATCCCGTCTTTGAATGGCTTGATTTTGATTCGTGTGATCTAATTTCTAGTCCATTTTAGAGGTTGCGAACTGTGAGGCACCTGCCTATTGGCAAGTTGGTTAACAGTCAGCATTGTTCTGAATTGCAGGTTGTTACAGATATTCTTCTCCTTCAAAACCAGAAAATAGTGACCTACAAGGGCGATTATGACACATTTGAACGAACTCGTGATGAGCGCGTTCGAAACCAGATGAAAGCACACGAGGCGAATGAGCGGACTCGTAGTCACATTCAAGTAAGACTTGTGAAGGAAACGTGTTCAGCGGATTCCAGCTTGTGTCATTCTCAGAATTTTAAGCTCTGTTTTATTGCTCGTGATAAATATTGTTACTCAATCGATAATGTTTCTAGTTTATGGTATTTGTTTGTTTGGTAAATTTTATGGAACTGGTATGTCTATATGTCTCGTGGATGATCTTTATTTAACCGTTGCCAACTGCTTTGTCGCAGGCTTTCGTAGATAAATTTAGATACAATGCCAAAAGAGCATCTCTTGTGCAATCCAGAATCAAGGTGATTTAATTGTATCATCTTCACTTCTTTGCTTGTTTTACTGATTTTGTCCCTGAAGTAAACTTGTGTTTATGACACTACTAGTTGCAATAGACTGCTGTTATATCATCTTGTAATTGTTCCTAACATATTTTTTCTCTTACTAATGCAGGCTTTGGAGCGAATCGGCCATGTTGATGCAGTCGTCAATGATCCAGAGTGAGTATGCATATTTTTAATGCTTGTTCTACTGGTCGCATGCAACATTTTATGACGGAGTACAGATGAGGTTTTACATCAGGATGTAACTAATTTAAAATCTTATTGCTTGCATCATTCATTACTGTCATTGTATAACACTTACCTCACATTCTCATTTGTCTACTTTGAGATGTTGTCTCTATGAATAATTTATTTGTCTCCTATCATTTGTTTCTACAGCTACAAGTTTGAATTTCCAACGCCTGAAGATAAACCCCAAGCACCTATCATTAGTTTTAGGTAAGCCTCATCGTCAAATGGTTATGTTAAGCTCGGCTGGTTCTCAAGGGTTGTAATCGTTTAATCTTACTAGGTGTTTGTTGCCTTTCTACGATAACCAGTTTTCTTGGTGTACTTACAGATCTTTTGTGGTTCAAATTTTGCAGTGACGCATCTTTTGGATACCCTGGCGGTCCTATACTGTTCAAGAATTTAAATTTTGGAATTGACCTCGACAGTCGATTAGCAAGTAAACTTCTAAATTTTTCTGCTTACAGCTTGTACAGAATAAGTAAATTGTGTGATGGAGTTTTCATTGAATGGATGATTTCTTAGTTTTCGATGAAATTGCTTTTAATCATTCCTAGGAGCAGTTCTCTCGCTTCTTAAATGTAGTTATTAGTTTGTGCCGATTATTTGCTGATGAACGGTCCATTCCTTAGGGCCATAAGTCATTGTTTTCTTAGACAATTACGCATGCTGGTATTTTGTAGTATCCTCTTTGCTGTGGGTGTGAATACTAATTTTTTTGTGTGCGCAGTGGTGGGTCCAAATGGTATTGGAAAGTCTACATTGTTGAAGTTAATTTCAGGAGAGTTGGAGCCTATATCCGGAACCGTGTTTAGATCGGCGAAGGTGGGAATCTCCTGCTATTTCTCTTTACACCTATTTGGATTAGTCTAGCAGACGCTTTCTCTTATCAGCTTGGAAGGGAAAGTTCTAATCACTTGTAATGAAATGTGGATGCAGGTTCGTATGGCAGTCTTTAGTCAGCATCATGTTGATGGCTTGGATCTCTCATCAACGCCTCTTCTCTACATGGCACACTGTTTCCCTGTGAGAAACGTTTCCTTTTTCAATCATGGACTCTGTTCTCATTAGTTTAATATCTATGCTTAAAGGGTTATAGATTTGAATATTTAACCAGTTTCGTTCTTATTCAAGAGAGCTGGTGTTATAGTTTCCTTAAACTATACATCTGTCGATGAATTCTTGACGTGGGAAAGGCAGCTATTTTGTCAAACGCCTCTTTTATTCTCCGTTTGTAGGTCGGTTGGGTGACTTGTTAAAATGTACACAAATGAATGGGTGATAAATGTAACGATAAGACAACCCCGTGAATGCGCAGCTATGGATCTGGACAACGAATCATTATCGGTTTACACTTCGAATTCAAACTTTTTTTTGTGGATTCTTTGGTTGTGTTGTGGTTGTTTCAGGGTGTATTGGAGCAACGTCTGCGTGCCCACCTAGGTTCATTTGGAATCACGGGCAACCTGGCTTTGCAATCTATGTACACACTTTCAGGTTTGTTTCTTATCAGATGTCCTAAAGAATTTATTTTAAGTTTAGAATGGTTTAGAGGTCTTATTCGAATTTTGTTGAGTGTTGGAATCATTTTGTCTTATCACATTTGTCAGGTTATTGAAGGATTGTTGGTATTTTCTTAAATTTAAGCAATCTTTATCACAATTATGTGTCAGATTGTCATACTCTTGGAATATGGATGATGCTGTGCAGGTGGTCAAAAGAGTAGGGTAGCTTTTGCAAAAATCACTTTCAACAAGCCTCATATATTACTGCTGGATGAGCCATCCAATCACTTGGTAAATTTTCTCTCAGCGAATAAACGTCACACGTTGAACCTTTACAAAAGCATTTTTGTAAAGATTTGCATTACTATTTGCTTTGCTGGCCACTTTGAGTACTCTAGTATCTATTTTCCTGGGTGTGTTTGGTGCATACTTTTGCACCGTGCATTCAAAGTGTGGTGAAAACTCTTAGTGAATCTTGTTTCGCTGATGCAGGATCTTGATGCTGTGGAGGCCCTTATACAAGGGCTTGCTTTATTTCAAGGAGGCGTGCTCATGGTATTTTATCCAATCCTCTCTGAATAATTGAAATCATTGTACCTGAATGTGTGCATGTTGGCTACTGGTTTTGCATCTGCATATGGTGACAGGTGAATGATAAGGTTAATCGGTCTTATTTCTTGGTTTCACGTTGCTGTTTACTCCAGCCAACTTGGAAGGAGTTGTTTATAGCAGTATGGAGTAAATTGTGAAATTTGGTGCAGGTGAGCCACGACGAGCATTTAATTTCAGGAAGTGTAGATGAACTTTGGTGTGTTTCGGACGGTAAGGCGACGCCGTTCCATGGTACCTTCGCTGAATACAAAAAGACGCTGAAAATCTAAGATTTTGTGAATATCTGGTTTGGAATATGTTTCACTTTCCAATCAGCTATGGCGAGCTTTTAAGAGTAGTACAACGAAATCATTGCTCGTCTCAGATCAAGTTTATTTATTAGAGATAGAGCAACAATAGTTGTTGAGCAGTATAGAAATAATCATCTCCAGTAAGAGAACAAGGGTTGTAATGTATTCGGCTCTGGCTCATCACCAACGACAAGTTCTTCGACTTGCTATTGTGCTATGCATTGTGTTTTTTGAGTTCTGTTGTAGGCATTCTACATAGGAACAAGAGCAAAAGTTGATGACATCGGTGTGTGGCGACCCATAATCGCTTATGAGATACTAATGAATGACTGAGGGATTGGTCACGAATTAGGTTTTCAGAACCCCTTAGTTGAAATGAATTCGCTTTCTCCAACAACTAGAATCTTTAAAACTAAATCACCTCTTTAACCTAACAACTAAATACATCTATTACAAAGCGATTGTTGGTCCTTGATTTCGGCCCTTACAGCTAGTCTTACTCAGGCTCTAATCTAATGAACATTAGACTCAGAGCACCATGTGAAATAAAAATTTGGCGCTTTCCCAAAGTGAATGCTCAGTATGAAGCAAAAGAGGGTGTGAATGTACAAAATGTAAATTTGTATGTACAAGCGTACACATGTGCGTATATGAGTACTTGAGTTTGAATTTGTCTTTCTTCTCACAAGAAGCATAACAAAATAAGAACAGTTCTTGAATTGATTTGCTCTTTACACACGGTATTTTTATTATTTAATTAATTTATCAACTTATCTGATTGTCTTTCTTATATGATTTTCTAAAATATTTCTGTTCTCTAACATCTCCTTTTCCAATAGTAAATGTAAGTCAGTATTGTAACTCAAAAGACATTTTAGAGATTTATGTGAAGAATATTGTAGTGATTTGGCAAAAAGATTTCATGAAGTAGATCCAAGTGAATTTAGTAGATTGGTCTTTTAACTATGTAAGATTATAAGATTAGTTGCTATATAAATGGGATATAATAAACTTAAATTTTTTACATCTAGAAGAAATAATGTGTTGTGATTAATTGTAATTTTTGGAAATCAATGATTACTGTGAGTTGTCAATATACCAAATTAAAAATATTTGAGCAGTAAACTTATTTTATTTATGCCAAAGTTATGTAAACAAATAAAAATAAAATAAAAATGAGCTATTCTAATCTAACATGCAATTAATATACAATTTAAAGCTTTAGTACTTTATATATTTTTAAATTTTCCTATTTATTAGTATTAAGGTTTTTTACTTTGCTTTGGAAGAAACATATCAAAGCATGTCATTGATGTGTAATAGAGATACACAAAATAAATTTTAGAATTCAAATTTTTCATAACAAACAACATTTGCATATTCAAGAAAATTGTTGTTAAACAATAAGGTAAATTTTTATTAGGTTTAACTTGAGACAAACCAACTCATAAGTTCTCATGGGAAAATATTGGCTTTAGCAAATAGACCCTAAGGACAAAAATTGTCTATCATTAAGATTTGTTAATTGTTATGAAAAAAATAAGTTTTACAAGAAGTTGTTTTTGTTGTAGTTCAGACAAAAGTTCTATGTTTGAAGGTGCTACATTGACTTGTGAAGTAAAGACTTATTTTATAATTTGCATTGGGGTTATAATTTTAATATTGATTAAATGTAGTATGAAAGCTTTTATATTAAGGCATTTTTTGTTGCATAAACTATGTACCATATTTTGTAACATCATTACAAAAGTTCCAACCTTTAATTTTGGGCAATGAAGTTGTAATTTGTAATAGAATTAGAACTAAAAAAATTAATTCATTATAATTTTTAATTATTTTTATAATTAATAAAATAAAAATATAAAAAAATATTCTTAATTTAAAAACCTTAGTATGAATTGAAGATTCAACTCTTTAAAGCATATATTAGTTGTACATAAAGTTTAACAATTTAAGATGTATTGTTGACCAATTGCATGGTTAGTAATATTACTATAGAAGTTTTTAATTAATTAATGTATCAATTTATAGATAATAGTTTCTCATAATATTAGAAAGTATATTTTATGTATAAAAAGTTGCAAGTAAAAAAAAATCAAGCTTATATTGGCCATTTGGATTCTTACTTTTTGAAAATTAATTTTAAAATATTTGGCTAAAGTTCCTTAATAAAAAAGAATTTCTATTATATGGCTTGTTAATACCATTAATATCATAAAACAACTTATTTATAACCTCAAATATTGTCTTATTGGTCATTAATGTTGCATTGTAGACAAATGTATAAGCAACTTTAAGAAACCTTTTTAATGCATTTTTTTTTTTTTTTTTTTTTTTTTTTTTTTTTTATGATTCACCAATTTTATTTGTAAGTTAGATTGGAAGAATCTTAAAGATAAAATGGTGTATTTTTTCATCCAAAAGTAATAATTTGCAACCAAAAGGAGCAATTACTAATTTAATTCCAATATTGTTTCTATTGTAAGTTGATAAAGGCTCATTAGATTACAACAAGAATTATAAGAAGTTTTATTCTTAAGACAATTTACACATATTAATTTTTTTTAAATTTTTAATTCAATAAATATAATAATGATTGTTCTTGAGTCAAGTGGTCAAGGACTTTGTCTTTAATTCTTATGATTTTTTATTGTACTAAAAATGTACTTATCTATATAATGTTTATGTATTACAAATATAAACATATTTGTATATTTATGATACAAATGAATATACATTTGTATAATATTGATATGAATGAAATCTTATAGATAAATCTTGTTATTTTTTTATTATTATTTATCCATTTACATTTTTGATACAAAAAAACTAAAAATAATTCTATCATTAAATATTAATAGTCATTGCAATTGCTATTGTAATTATTTCATAATGGCTAATTTTTTTAGTGCTTATATACCAAAACAAATAAATTTTTATTTAACTTATATAAAATACTTTGTAGTAACAACTAATTTTATGTTTCAACAACCAAATTAGACTCTAAATTGATTTAATGATATATAAAAAATAAAATAAAATAAAATAAAATTTAATATATATTATTTTTTATTTATTAAAATAATATTTTAAATATATTATTTAGTAGAAACATCAATCTTTATTATATTTTGATAAATTATTTTTATTTTTATTTTAATATTACATTGCAATAAGATCTTAGATATATATATATATATATATATATATATATATATATATATATATATATATATATATATATATATATAATTTGTTAAAATAACATCTCCATATTTTTAATACAACATTTCCTTAGGTTTTAATAATTAATTCAATCTATGCTCTATCTTTGTCCCTATTCCTTGTTTTTAGTTTCCAATTTCTAGTCCTTAGTCTTTAACCCCCTCCTTCTTTGTTCTTTATCCCTAATTCTTAGCTCCTAGCCCGTATCTTTGTTCTTTGTTCCATGTCTCCCTTCTCTTGTTTCTATCTATTGTCTCTTATTTTAATCTCTCTTCCTTGTTTTCAATACCTATTTTTGATTTCCATTCTTATTTTATAAAAAATGATGTATAATTTTTAAATCAATTCATGTTTCTTATTCAAAGATTATACTCCAAAGCCTTTAGCCATGGATTTTGCACATGATGCCTATTTCAAAAGACTTGCATACTTTAGATTTCAACTAAAAAAATATAATTAAATAATCCATTAATATTTAAATTAAAATGTAACATCTATTAATTCCAAACAAAAAAATTCAATGCAACATCAAGAATATTTTGGTTATAATTATTTTTGTAAAAACACATTTTTGTTTAAAGTAGTTATTGCCATTTTCAATGATAAGGAATGAGAGTAGAGGAAGAATACTAAGAATGAAGATAAGGACAAGGACGAGGATGGAGAGGAGGGGGAGAGGGAGAGGGAGAGAGGGGGGTATTAAGGTCATGAATCACAAACAATTAAAATATCAATATATTTTTATATTTTTCAAAAAAAAAAGATATTTTTTCAAAGATAGTATAATATTAGAATTAAAATGGCTATTGACAAAGACAAAAAGACTATAGAATTTTGAAAAAAAAGTAAGAACTAAAACGACATTGGCAAAAGTGAAGAAGGCTTCACTCTTGCTTCCATTTATACTATCTAGTTAGAAGCTATATAGCAATGTTTTATATAACCTTTGACACTTGTCCAATTTGCAAGATACATGTTTAACTTGCAAGACATGTTTCCTATATGTGCACTATGTGGCCAACTTGTACTAAAAATTATAAACACTTGTAACATGTGGCCAACTTGTTGGCCGATGTTTCAATTTATTAATCACCTACAAATACATATAAAATCAAATTTGCATATATGAAGCTTATTTGCTATCTTTTTTAGACTATATTTTTAAAATTTGACTATAAATACTTCTATAAATGAATTTAGATTATATAGGAGTTGTGAATTTTTTTCCATCAAAGGTATATAATAAGAAAAAGTAATTCTAAATATGAATGCATCTATGAATCCAACTTGAGTAAATCCATTAAGATTTTAGGAAAGGTGCAATATTTAATAGAAGTTCATTTATTGTAAAAATCTTCTAAATTTTGATCTGATTCCATTGAACTTCTTTAGCATACTAATCCTTCTCTACCTCATATTTATAATAAGAAGAATTTCTAGATTCAATTATGAAATTAGTTTACTTGCTTCTCTCAATTGCACAATTTTTTGCCATAGATACTAAATTTCATCATGAACTTCTTCTATAGGTGTAAAAATAGTACCTCTATGGCTGACATTAGTAATATGTGAAATTTCCATCCTAAAAGTAATAACAAGCTTATGAAGATCTACAATAGTAGCTTATCTATTCTTACTTTTGTAAAGCATAACATCCATAATTTTTCTATCTATCTCTTTATGATATAAAAAAAGAAGTGATATATTTATTTACTATTAAAATAAAATAAGAATAATAAATTAATGTTCTTGCCAAATTGGCAAAGACATAAATTAGAAACAATCACAATACCAATACATTCCTATATCACTTGAAAAGAATAGATATTCACTCAAAAGATAGTATAATATTAGAACTAGAATGATTATTGCCAAAGAAAAGAAGACTATAGACTCTTAGAATAAGAATAAGAACCAAAAAAACATTGACAAAGAATGAAGAAGGCCTTACTCTCTTTCTATATATACCATCTAATTAGGAACTACATAGCAATATTCTATAAGATCTTTGATATATGTCCAACTTATAAGATACACATATAATTTGTAAGACAAGTTTCCTACATGTACACCATATGGCCAACTTGTAATACAAGTCACCAATATATACAACATATAACCAACTTGTTGGCTAAGTTTTAACCTACCAATCACCTACAAACACATATAAAGTCAAATTTGTGTTAATAAAGCTTCTAAGAAGCTTGTCCACTAGATATTTTTGAATCTACTTACTTCTATATGCTCCTTTAATTAGATAAACATGTGTATCTATAATAAGAAGTTGAGATGAAGGACATGGACTAAGAATGGAGATGAAAGGTTGAAATGAAGGACAAAAGAGAAGAGAGATGGGAGGGGGTAGGAAGTTGGAATTGGCAATGAGGAGGGGGGAGGGGGTCGGGATAAAGCAAGAGAGTTGGAAAAAAGGATGGGGGTAGGAATTAACCAAGGGAGATGGAAGATAAACTAAATCAATCATGAGAACTTTAGGAGGTGTTGTGCTAACAATGTAGGGGTGTTACTTTAATAACTTCTCACATATATATATATATATATATTTGAGGAAATATTAAAATGACTCAGGTTTTTGTTAAATTGACCTGTTCCCCTAGTTTCTAGTCGTCCTCCTGTCCCGACCCACAGTCCCCGTTTCTGCGACATCACCACGTGGAAATTCATGGATGCCCTGCCGAGATGCCCATACCACAGAACTCTTGCAATTCTGGCAATCACACCGCACACCCATGTCTGTCAACATTCCCGTAAGTTGTGCAAAGAATAACACATGATCACGTGATCATGTAAACTCTACTTGAATGTTGTAAAAGACTCAGGTAAGCTTTTCCTGGACAACGGTGACGACATTGAGATGGTGATTTGCAAGGGCATGTCACTTTCGTGAGATTCTTCGTCCAACAATTGACGCAGCGAGGTGTTCGGTCGTTGAAGGTCGTGAACGGGGGCTAAGCCATCCAGAAAGGACTCACAGTACAGGCAATTATCATCCTTGGAGCTAACAGTGCGGCAACTTCTCTCACCATCAACGGCGTCCAAGTATCATCACCAATTTCTTCATCTTTCGATTCCGCTGAAGCTTCCACCACCATCTTAGGACTGAGTGTACCTGTCGGTAGCGAGTTTCAGCTCCAGTGGACTATACAAGCGCATTCAACAAATCAGCCCACAAAGCTTGAATCTTGTATCTGTAACGACATGTGGGGAATAGCTTTATATGCTTTGGCAAACTCTTGGCACTGTCGTAGGTGTATATAAAACCTTCAAAATTGGTTTATACAATTTTGTGATGAGGGTCTAGAGACCATGCAATGGGAAGCCTCGAACTAGCTTCCCTCTATCTTGGTTAGCAATCACGTAGACTAATACTGGACACCAGCAACCACTGCAAGCTCCCACTTTGCTTTGCAGGCCTGTTGCTTATATGTATGTTTATATGGGGCAATCAATCCCCCAAGGTCTGTACAATACTAGCTAGCAATCTATAATACAATCAACAATCCCATTCAGAGTAAATGTTCTTGAGCGATCGACAACAGGACATGTAAGATCGCTCAAGAACATTTACACCTCCAGTAATTTGAGCATATTCATGTGTTAATTGTTTCATCAGAGGTTTAGCTCGATCGTTTTAACTTATCTACCCTCCATCCTCGACTGACAACAGCCATCACTGCAGATTTGCCATGTCAAGACTTTCGCTGTTTCTAAATCACCTCACAAAACGACTTTTCACTTGCCTGGAGGGTCACCAACCCACGAGTGACCAATCTTCAACCATTCCGGCTGCGCACACAGGTGAACCTTATTTCAGCCTGCATGTGTTGATAGATCTTATGCACTGTGCTGATCATGCGGAGTCGGTAAGGACATTTCGTACAGCTTATGGGAATGTTGAAAGACATGGGTATGCGGTGCGACTGCCGGAATTGCAAGAGTTCTGTGGTATGGGATTTGGGTAGGGCATCCATGAATTCCACACGGTGATGTCGCCGAAACGAGGACGGGGGTTGGAGGGTCGGAACGGAGGGACAAGGACTCGAAACTGGGGGAACAGGGGAGGGGTCTGGAAACGGGGGAACGAGGGTAGGGGTTGGGAGGTGCAACGATGGTTTAGAGTTGTGGGTCAATTTAACAAAAAATTGGGTCATTTTAACATTTCTATGTGTGTATATATATACATATATATATATATAAGAATGTAATTTTGTGATAATTTTGATAATTATATTCTTTAAAATAAAAATCTATCAAATCATGATTTTATCAAATTAATAAATTTATATTATATAAAATTTTAATCATGTCATATTTATAATGTGATGCTTATTCGCTTAGTTGTGAGGCCGTACTTGTGATTTTTTTTCAATTTTTTTACTATATATATATATATATGTCAAATTATAAATTATTAAAGGTTCTGATTTTGGAAGGAATATAGTGTAAAGATATATAGGTCCAGAAGTTATAATAATAGATGCATTACTACACTTATATGAAATAACTTCTACCTAACCTACATATTATTATCATAGATTTACAAGATTCTCAAAGATATTTTTTTGGCATTTTACTTTATAGTCCACTTTATGTAGACTTAAATAAAAATAAGCAGGAATCAAGTTTATGGCTACTCTTCAATGAATACTACCAAAATTATGCACCTATGTTCACGACAATTAAGTACAAACTACAAGATCCAGAAGTGACTCGGATGTCTTCCTTAGCACAGCAATCGTCTGTGTAAAAAGTGTGTCCAATTCGAAACCCTTGATGGGCGGTTCTCAGCAAAGCCATGGTTGCTTGTACTCGTTGTCATGACTTGATTAAACTAGCAGAGATCAACTGAGGGAAAGCTACGTAGTACAAGCTACAGTAGAACCAGTACTAATGCATCCCTGCAACTACCAGTTTAGAACGCTGCTTGTCTAATGCAGACCGAAAAGAAGGGAGTGCCCAGCAGGTGCTTTGTTAACAGATTTCTCGTAATAGCTTTTAACAAGAGAGATGACCTTGAACCACATGCATCCTATGAATAAAACTTGAGGTGCCCAACTGTTTAACCCCTGCAAAGAAGAGAAGTATGGTCTAAAAAGTGGAAGAGTTGCCAAATCTTTGACAAGGATCCACAACGAAGAAATAAAAAAACATAAATTGATTTTTTCGTTTCTTTTTAAATCCGTCCAAGCTACGATGATACCAATTCAACAACGAAGTCGAAGATTACAAGTTGTGAATGAAGGGTTTGTGATACCGACTTATTCTGCTGTGAGTTACAGTAACCTCCACAGCAGCCAAAAAAATGACCATTTGTAATTACAAAAGTTAGAAGAATGTTCACAATCATAAGTCGCCATTATTGAATATCAATATTTTCACTGCACTCTAACAAAAATGAAACGGCTTCCGAGAAGTTTTCTTGATATGCTGACACATAATTCCTAATTTCAGCTAGCGTACCTGTTGCTACTTAGTTCTCACAAGTCGCAGAAGCACCTTCACTGTCCTAAGGAATGCCTGCGACTTCGGAAACACAGCTCTTCTGTAAAGAACAATGTGATACATGAGACTGTTGTCGTGGAAGATCAAATAGCTCTGCGTCTGCACTGTAAGTTGGAAGACTTGGCAGAGTCAGTGGAGGAAATGAAATATTAACGGATTCACTATTTACTTTTGAAGCAAGTTCTGTAAGATCTGCATGTCTTGCTGCCAGCCCTGGGGATGCCTCAATATGACTAGCTAATGCTTCTTTCGCTTTTTCAAGAATAGTTTGTAGGTACTTTCTGTGAGCGTTAATCCTCAATTGTAGCTGCTTTTGCACCTGCATCAGATGCCCTAGGTCCGGGTATAAGTGTTGGAATATATACGAGAAAAAAATGAGGTGACGTCGACAAAGGATGTTTGGATCAGATAGAAGAAACAAGGACAACATTACTATAATAGACACGAAAAGTTTGTCATCATGTAGTTTAAACCTCAAAATGAACAATTCAAGAGGGCTAGATCTAAGAACAATTTCACCTGAACTTCTTACAGAATATAAAATAAAAACATCCAAGACGTTGCTGGAACAATAGGTTTAGAGTAACAGAACCTCAAGTTGCTCTTGCAAGCGACGCTGAACCTCCATCTGTATCCGGATGACTTCAGTGATTTGAAAGTCCCTGCATTATAGTTAACCATCGAGCCAGAAATCAATATACCTGCTACTTCACCTGACCATTCATAGGAACTTGATTTTCAGAGGTGTTTTGCAATAAAACAATTCTGGCTTGACACAATTTTTTGTAAGAGCTACGGTAGACATGATTCACTATATCCTACGATACAAATTCTCATGATTCTGAGGTTTTGGTGGACTTCGAGCGTCGATGCCGGCACTACTTGTTACTTGTACTTTAGAGGATCCTACTCAAGGCAACGTTCTGCCATTGATGTTACAGGAAAGAGCTTAAGAAGTCGAACATAAAAAATAAAAATAAAAAATAAAAAAAGACTGTTAAATGCGTAAGAAGTGCTGAAAGATCAATAGCAGCAATTTCATGATTCGTCAAATGTTTTAAAGCACATCGTATTGTTCACACAGTCAAGCATAAAGTCTACTGCTGTGTCTTTTTGGAAGAGAAATAGAGCCCACCAACCTTAACATATTTATGCCCAATACTTTCTTGATTGAGCTATTCACAAAGCGAGTACTTCAGCAGGTCAGAAGCATTACTGCTAGAATTAGGTTTGCATCTCAACTCACAAACGGTGCATGTATGTCGTTGACTATATGATATCCTCGTGCATGCCCGCACACTCAGATGGTCACGGGGATAGTGCGCTCTCGGCATAGCCGCATCTCCGTGAACAGTCAGATCCAGATAGGGAATAACTTTAAATACTCTCTTTGTTAAATTCTTCCACATTCGCAATGAAGAACATGAGTTCAATAAATGACGTATTAAGCGAAATTTTAAACTACAATAAAATTGTTTAAATTTTTCTGAAAACCATAACGCAGTAAACGAGCTACACGATCTTCAAGTAGTTTAAACCTAATTCAAACCACTTAATTACCGATGTTTATGTCGATGTTAGAAAAGATAATCGAACCAGTCAAGCGTGACAAGATGAAAGTGCAGATAATGAAAATTAAATAAGATCAAGGATCAAAACAATAAATGAACAACCGAAAAAACCATAAGCGACAATACGATGAATCAAACGACTTACAAAGTCAAAAGCAACCATCGTAGGCAAAATATTTTCTCATTACGGCAGAAATAACCCTAACCTGGAGATGGCTTTTCAAATAATACAGAATGATGCCCTTAACGCCCATCACCCACATCACTGATATGAGTGTAGCTTCTTTAATTCAAGAGGGTCAACTATCAGTTCTTGAAAAGCACAGTCCGGATTCATTGCAAGCAGAATCCACTGATCTAAGCTACTAATGAATAGAGGATGTAATAACGCAACCCAGTAGTCTGAAGTGACTAAACCTAATGCCGCATGTAGCAGTGCATTCGGGAGGCGATGAATGCAACTAGCATTGTGATATACACGCCACAAATATTCAATCCATAATTGTGCGCCCACAAGATATTCGGTACAATTGACGCGGTGAATAAGATGTCATGTAAACAACTTCTGCTCAATTCATCCATTTCCCAACTGACGAATTCTTGTAACGTGATCGAAACCGATTAAAGTGAAGATAGGCATCACTCTGATAATCGAGACATCATCTAACTGCACACCCGGAAGTAAATATTGGACATATGCAGGGCGAGCTGTATGATAGCATCCACGAACCGCCATTGAAACTCCAGGGTCCATCGCAAGCGAGGTTTAGGGTTCGCCAAGCTCGTTGCACCGTCACTGGAGAAACTTCCGTGATACATAATTGTCATGTTTTGGTTGCTGATGGCGGACTGAGCACGATTGAATACTAATGTCAATGCACTTGAGTACTTCGTCACTGGATAAATTTGATTTTCTCCTTTTTCCAGCTCAGACTTGGTCTCTTTGATGAATCCAGATTCATGAACTGGTACAATTTTACCTTGATTTCGGTGTGGTAGTCATGGAATAGCTTGTCCAGGTATGGAAGACTTTTCCGATTCTGTAAATACTGGAGTGAAGTGGGAAATATGATTGCACTCTAAAGGGGACTGCTGCGTTCAACACTTTAATCAGCGAAGGTAGTAAGGAGAGCTTAGTAACATAACATTTTATATGAAAACATTTCGTCCTCACACACATCTACAACGACGAAACTCTCAACCATAAATATCAAGAAAGGAACTACTAATTCAGTTTAGCCTGCAACGAATGCTAGTATCGCGCACTAAAGCTTGAATGAAAACATTGACCGAGTGGAGCGAGACGCAGATGGGCAGGGAGTCAACGAGAAAAAGAGAAGAAACGAGGAAACAGCACCAGCCAACAACGCAATGAAATCAGGAACAATCCCAACACCAAACCCAAGCTCCGAGAGCTTAAGAGCAATCCCCCAACAGGCCCAAACCTTTAATCGCACCGCTGGCAAGAACCCAACTAACACAGAAACCAAACAAATATCCTTTACTCCACCAGCGCCGAATCCGGAACCGCTGCAGTCAATCAGGCCATCCCCCTCCCCCCCCCCCCCTAATCCCATAAAAGAAACTTGTACGAATACAGCCAAATGAGAGCATCATAGTTTGGTATTCATGGGTCCTGATGGGTAAAGCCGTAAGCAATTACTCCAGGGAAGCAAAAGTCCAAATCAGGCTGAGGATGTGTTGGAAAGCAACGTCACTATAGAGAAAGAACAGGAAGACGCGGACATTGCTCTGGAACAGCACGAAACCTTGTGACACGAGGTAGGGTCGTCGTCGTCGTCGCCATAGCCAACCAACAATAGCCGTCAACACTGAAAAACTTCCACGCACTTCATAAACTGGGATTAAACGGCAGCCTGCGAAACGCGGAATCCCACAACCAGGCACGATTTCCCGGTCCCGATTCTCATTAATGCAATTGTAGATCTTCGACGCCGTCGACGCATTCGCCATGGCCACAGAGCCTTCTTCTACTTCTGCTTCCCAGCTCCCGGAAGAAGCCGTTTCCAAGCAGGCGGTTGAAGGGTCATATTTGTAGATAAGCCTAATACCGTGACATCTACGAAATGGTTTTTTCTTATCTGCGAACTCCGTCTGGCAGAGAGGAATCGGTCTTTCACGGGAATAGGTTCACAACCGGGATATCTAGTTGTCCGTTGCTGCAGTGGACCTGTTACTGTGACACTGCTTTGCAAAGAGTATTATGAATGCTATTTGCAAGAGTTGAGTGTCAAGGTGACGCAGACCTTATGAAAAGTAGCACATCATTTTTAAAATCCTCTTAGTTTGTGGCACTGTGTGGGTGAAAGATGAAGGTGACAACATTTCATTCTAATGTCATATTAAGATGTTTTTTATTTTATTTGTATTTTAGTGAGAATAGAATATATTGTAAGCAGGATATGTTAAGTTTGACTATATTATTATTATTATTATTAATGTTGGATTTTGTGCTTTGAAGAATGTTTTTAAGAATGCTTACGTATATCTAATACAAAACATGAATTTTGAAGAGGAATTAAAAAAAAGAGTATCAAAGGCTTGGCAATCTATTAATTTATCTTTTTTTTTTAAAAAAATAAAATGAATTTTTTTAAATAAGAAAAGGAGATATAAGAGGAGACTCAAAACTTGCTCGAAGATTATATAAAATGGTGTAGTCTATTTTATTATTAGAATTTGAAGTGAAGGAAGAATGAAGAAAAGATTTGTAGAAGATAACAACCAAATTTAATAGTAATATATATAAAGAGTAAGTACATTGTTTTGAATTAATTGTAGGCCTATCTTCTCATTAAAAGTATCCATACTGGTAAAAATACATCTAAAATAATTAATTACCTTATAATTAAATTTTCAAAGTTATTAATTTTGTTGGCAACTTGAGCATTATATTTGAATGTATGTTTAGAGCATATTTCTTTAAAAATATTTTAAAAGACCTATAATATAAAAAATTTAAATCAATAAATATGATAGTAATTATATATATATATATATATATATATATATATATACATACATTATACATATCAATCAATTTATATGATTTAAAAGACTAGTGGATTTATAAAATAAAACTTGTCATTTGTTTTTTTTAATATTTAAGTCATCCTATAAAATAAGAAAATCTTGTTTTTGTATATTGCCTATAATTCTCATACATCTTGTTTATTAGGACAAGATATAGAATCTCCAATAAGAATAATTTCCATTGGATATTGTAACTCCTTATTTTTTTATAATATTACATCAACTAGTATTTTTTATACCAAAATCTTTTAGATTTGGCAACCACCAAATTTATTCTCAATTGTTTTTAATTAAATAAAATATGCAACCTTTATGGTAAAGTTACAAATTATTTTTTTTAAAGATGTAATACCTATTTTTTTGCACCATTTAGATATTTATTTCTCTTAATATCAATTTCATCTTCTAACATTTGCAAAGAAATTGTACTGCATTATCAAAATGATTATATTAGATTTTAAAAATATTTCCATAATTTCTAAATATATAAACAATTTGATATATATTTTTTGATAAATGTATAAAAATAGATATTATTTTCTTTAATATAGAAGAAATAATGGTATTTTATTTTTTTTATCAAAATTCTATATATATAATTATTTATTTATTTAAATTTTAACTTTAATTCTTAAATTTAAAAATAACGATTGATAATAAAAATGATAGTATTCTTTTCTACAATGTTTTTAAAACCTTTTATCACAAAGTAGTGCCAAATTATTTTTACTTAAAGTTTTAGTGTATAATTTTTTATTATAAAAAAATAAAGTACCATAGTATTTAAATAAGCTATATTCGTATTTTATCTAATTTTTTTAGCATTTTGTATCAATGATATAAAGAATCTATATCATCTAGTCTTTCATAAGTAACAATGTTTAAGGATTGAATTTTTGATTCAATAGAAAGAATAACTTCTTATCTATGAACTAAATAAAATGGTGTATATGTTTTTTAAGTATTTTATAAGTTATTTTATTTGCTCATGAAGCATCGAAAACTTCTCAACTTCAATTACTTATTGAGCCTTAAATGTTTTAATTAATTATTATTATTATTTGTGTGTTTCTCTATTTATTTAAAGATGATAGGATGTTGATTTTTTTATAATTTATTAAATATTTTTTAAGTAATGCTTTCATAATATAGTTTAGAAATACATGCAGGTATCACTTATTAATTCTTTAGGACACCCAAACCGTATGATTATATTTTTTATAGAAAATTTGGCAACTAGATCAGCATCATGTACAACAACTTCGGTCCCAACCCATTTATTAACAAATTCAATGACTGCTGAAATGTATTTTTTTTGCTAAAGATCATGAATATAGGATCCTATATTCATGTCATATAGCAAAATACTCCTTTTAATAATCAACATAATCAATAACTTATTAATTTTCGAGTCAATGTACTATTTGACAAACCTCCATTCTATTATGAACCAACTTAAAAATTTAGTGTACATCAGTAAATCTAAATAAATAAAATAAAAATAAAGATACTCTAATACATTTCAATAATATTGTTCTAGATTCATCACTAAAGACAATTACCTTCTTTTCTAAACTAAACAAGAATAGCCTTGCTTTTGTGGTCTCAATCTTGAGTCAAGGTATAGTGATAGAGGTAGGATAAATGACTCCACCTGCATTGCAGAATTTGATACAAGACTGAGGTATTCTACAATGATTTCAAAGTCAAATGAAGCATTAGCCAACTATCTTCGAGACTTGTTTATTGCAAGAATTCTTCTAATTTTTTTGAATAAAATTCTAAATTTGATTTTGATTTACATTCTTTTTGTTTAGTTACATTATAAACTTCTAAATTTTGGAAAGAAACATTATCATTGTCCAAACCTCTAAAATAAATAAATATATATATATATATATATATATATATATAATAAAAAACTTTATAAGTCAAAAATTATGATAAGCTTTATAAGACTTATTAACTTATCTTATTGATTCATTGATATAAAATTTCATCATCAACAAATTTACAAGAATCATATATTAAATTAAAGTTTTCTTCTAAAATTGCATCAATCATAATACCTATTATTTATACATATATATATATATATATATATATATATATATATATCAAAGTATAAAAAAAGAGTTTAGATTCTATCTTTTTCTCTTACAAATAAATTACTTAATTGACTTCAATATTTTGATACAATAACTAAAAATTAATGCATAATCATAGTTAATTGAAAATTATCCAAATGAAATATAATGTCATATGATATAATTCTAACATCCAATTTGATAGTTCTTGATTGTCTAAATTTATTTTTAAAAATTAACTTACTCATCATAACTTTAATATGTATTTTAGGATATAGGAAAGTTGAGGTTTAAACTTTCTTAGAAGCATTATTTAATACTCTATTGAAATCTCAAAGAAATATTAAAGAAATTAATAAAACAATCATGGAAAATTCTAAATAAATCCTAAAAAAAACCATAATTGAATCTTAATTAAATCCTAAACAATCTCCAACCAAATCTGACTAATTCTAACCAAATTCTAAATAAATTTTAATACATATTTAAAAACTTAATCATTATTATTTTAACCATTGATCTTAATTCAAATTTTTTAGACTTTTCAAACTACTAGTTGATAACAAAGATACAAAACTTGAAGGAAAAAAAACTTACAAATTGAAAATAAAATATTCCTAATCTACTTAGATATTGGTTGTTGTCTTTCTCCAACCTTGATATCAACCTTCTAGCATCAATATTTCTTTTTGAACCATTTACTTGGTATTGAAATTTTCATAAATATTAGAAATTAATTCAAATATTAGCATAAAAAAATATAAAAATTCAATTGAATTGGCCAATTTTTTAAAATTTTAGAAATTCTTATAAATCTTCAAAATCTAATTTCGAAGATTCTAATTCATTTGAATTCCAATTACTTTAGATTGAACTATCTAATGAAGTTTAAATTTTAAAAATACATATAACATACTTATTTTTTAAAATCTAAAAATATTTATTTATAAAAATAATATAAATTTCACACAATTCATCAAAATTAAATTATTTTTTATTCTACAAAAAAAAAGTAATCCAAAAAAAATCCTAACTTTGTAAAGCTTTTATAAATTCTTTTACTCAAATTATTCATAATTAATGTTTAAAAAAACTATATCAAATTTTCTCTCCAATTTCCCTCTCTAATTAACAAAACAAGCTTCTATTTGTTGCATGTCTATGATTTTGTATCTTAAGGTTTAGTTTTGAACCTAGTTCATAATTGATCCACTTTAGGTATCAATCTAAGGTTTTTTTAGATATATTTTAGTAAAAGATACTCTTTACTTTTATGTACAAATGCATTCAATATCATTTTTTATAATCTACTATGTTTTGTCTTGATTATGTTTCTACAAAGTAAATAAAAGCTCTTTTTATAATAGGCAATATAAGCATAAAATTACTTTTACCACATTCTTAATTTTTACTTATATTTTTGAAGAAATTTTCTACTATATTTTTAATTAAGTTATTCTATGATATGATATGATTTATTTATTTATGTCTATATATATATATATATATATATATATATATATATTACTTAATAATTATATTACAACATAATATCAATGTTTAAATAATAATTTACTATACAGGTACAAAAGTATAAGTTTAGTTTCAAATAAATCATGTTAGTCATTATTACAGGTTATAAGTGTGATAAAAAATATATATATAAAAATAAAAAACATATTTGAAGAAGCTATAGAAGAATATGCTTTAATTGGATCTCTAGAGGTAGCCAAATCCACCAAAATAAAATCCTAAAGAGATAGAATTCTTGGAATAAAGATTTTTTAAAATGTGAGAGTTTGTCTTTTTTATATTCAATTTTTTTGGAAATTAAGAGATTATTCTAGGAAATAATTTGAAATCAATTTTGTATAAAAGATGAGTGATTTTTTGTTTTTTTGTGTTAAAATTAAATGCAAAGGTTTGAAGATTCTTAAAGGGATTGAGAGGCATGAAGAACCAACTTAATAAAATTTAAGGGTGGTAGACCATTGTATTAAGTTTGCCTCCTTGACCAAGCAACAATAAATTAAGCTATCACAAGCTATGGTCAAGTTGATCATCATGACAATGCAACTTGATCTCTTTAGTAAGAAGTCTTAGTCTTAGAAGCAACAAAAAGAGAATGCACAAGATACAACAAGGAAGGAGTGTAGTACATAAGAAAAAGAACGAGAAAATAGACAAATAGAAATAGACAAACCGACTACTCCTCAAATTGGATCAAAAAGCCTAGAGAAGTCTTTGGCATTTGTCTTTACAGAAATCTTTTTAAAAATAAAGTCCAAATTTTCTTTGGAATCTTTTATAAAATCATAAGATCACTTACCCAATCTTATCTAGCCTCTAATCTTACTTCATGGCATTCACACAAGTAATAATCTTTTGAAATCCCATCAAGTTTGTCTTTGATAAATTCTTTTTTCTAGTAAAGGAATTCCTTTGCAACAATTTATATAAGCTATCAATGTTGTTGATTCCAACTTAGTGCCTACTTATTGTTAAGTGAGAATTAATTCTAATTTCCTATATTTTTGTATAATATATTTTTTTTGCTTGAAAATGCATTAGGTACTTGGTTGTAGAAGATAAACATGGAATTGAAACATAAAAAATCTTAACAATCCTAAAAAAATCCAATTGAAAAAATATATTCTTAATTGGCTTGGATGTCAACTCTTTTCTTTTTCCAACCTTGATTTTGATCTTTTGCTTACAACAACTCTTTATTGAACCATTCACTTGCTATCAAAATTTAAAAAATTGTTGCAAATTAAGTTTAGTGCATGTACACAAAATATGCTTTAATCCAACAAACAAATTGCTCAAGATCACATAAAATTTTACTAATCCTAAAAAACAAATATCTAAGATTTTAGCCCAATTAAATTCTAATATTTTTTCATCTAATATTTTGATTAATCTTAAAGTTTTAGAATGCATTTTAGAAAAGAAAACTTAAAACTTCAAAAAAATTCACTTGTCTATTTGCTACAATACTCACAAATACTTAAAATATATAATTTTTATTTTATTTTTTTAAATACCAAAATCACTAAAAACATCTTTAACTTTGAAAAGCTCTTAGAAATTCAAATTCATTTTAAATCACTTGAAATTAATTCTACAACAAACCTTCAAAAGTAAACTTTCTTAAATTACTTTTTGATCAATAAAAAACCTTGGAATTGCCATAAGTGTGCAATTTTGTATCCGGAGGTCTAACTTCAATCCTAATTCACAATCAATCTTCTTTGGATATCAATTCTTAATATTTAACGATAATATTTGCAAAAAATTATTCTTAATTTTTTTCAAAATATATCTATATTATTTATTATTCTATATTTTTTTTAATTATGTCTATAGAAAGAAAATTAAAGGATTTTTTATAAAAAAAATATATTTATACTAAATACTTTCACTACCTTTATATCTTTTAGTTATGTTTTTTACTATGTTTTTCAATTAGGTTCTTATGTAATAGAATCCATATTTGTTTTTTTACCAGATAGTTGTATTATAATAGAACCATCTGATATACCAATTGTCTTTAAAGATAGAAGGCTAAAAACAAAATTTATAAAGAAAGAAGATGAATCCTTTTAGATAATACTTGGTGGTTAGAAAAACAAACTTAATCTTTAATTTGTGATTGCCAATATATTAAAAGATGTTGAAGCCTATATTTAATGCAATAGAAATATCTTAATATTTTTTCCAATACCGTCTCAATTAAATTATAAGATTAAAAATTATTTAATGGATACACAAGGAAGCCAATTTTTTGCATAATATATGTCATATAACATAGCAAATATGACACAAGTTTTCAATAACATTAATTTATTTAATAGAAAACAATGCATTATATATGATACAATTATAATAATTAAAATAATAATAATAATTTTTAAAAAATAAATTTATTTATTAATAGACTTAAAAATATAATAAAAATATTTTATATTTCATTATATTTTAGAAATAAGATAAATATAATTATAATGGTTTCTTCTTTCAACATTGTAACTTGTTACTTTTATAAATAAAAACTAAAAATTAAAAATTAAATCTTAAAATTACTTTTTATATTTTTTGTTTTATATAAATGATTAAAAAAAAATGTTATCAAAGAATCGAAGTTGATGTGAGGATAAAATTCACCTTTCAACTTCAATCACAAGATGGCTTCAATTAAGAATTGCTTATAATTGATAGTATAGAATAAGAGATCAAATGAATAAGAGATGATAAAGAATAACAACAAAACAAATAAAAGAAATGAAATCAAGCAATAATATACTTCAAAAGTAATCATGATTATTTCATTGAACTTTTATTAAGTAGATTGTTATATATTTAATTTTTTATCTTTCCAATTACATTAAAGATGTAAAATTTTATATTACTATGAAAAAATTATAGAAATTTAAAGATAAAATAATAAATAGTAAAAAACTTAAGTAAATATGTTTTACCAAAAGAATAATTTGCTTAAAAACTCAAAGATTTGAGCCTCACTAAAGTTCATAAGTAGTGTATATGGATGTCCTAGAGAGGCGACAAAGCCTTAGTCTTATCTTACTACCTACATCCAAGGTGCTACAACTCATATGGTACACATGCACCTCCCTTCCTACAAATATTACACTAACTATTGGCCATCCTATATTCTAATAGTAAATCAATTGTTTTGCATTATTTACTTGACCATGGTGTTAGATAACATCCAATTAGCCTAAGAACTTTGTAAGGCCTTAAATAAAATCTTATTCAAGTTCTTCATAATAGCCTTCCAAAGTGATAAAATAATTTTTACCAAAAACTTCAAAATTACTCTATTTTTTTAAAATAGTTCTAAATAAATTCCATGTAAATTCTAAAAATCCCTATAATATTTTTATAATGATAATATCAACTTAAAGGTACATTTTCTATCTTAATTTTTTTTTTACAATAATAGAATCAATTTAAGTCAACTAAAATCATCTTTTTTACATAAATAACTAAAAATATATGAGATTTTTTTTATGCTTCTTCTACCTACTAACTTATAATTATAGGTTTTTATTTTTTGTATATGTAATACACATGGCTAGGAGACTAATATAGACATTGGTCTCAATAATTAAATATTATTTTTTACAATTAAGAAGAAATATTAAATCAACTAAAATTAATGCCTCTTTGACTTATTAAGATTATTTTTATGACTCTTGCAACTTATAAGCCTTTTTAAATTCTAATGAATACTTGAATGATCAAATAGATTCTCTAATCTTAATTTTTTTTAGTCTAAATAACTTAAAATTAGATTTTTAATGATTCTACCAATTAAGATCCATTAATAGAATTTGATATTAAAAACTATACTTAAGACTACTAAGCTATTTATTAAGAATAAAACACAATTGATAAATTATGAACTATTATTAAATGTTGCATGTTCTTTGTTAAGAAACAAAAATTCAAATTTTCAAATTGAATTTTATTTACTTTTAATTAAGAATACATATATTAATATGAGACCACTCCAAGTTAATAATGTACAAAGAGATAAAAATCAAGAGTTTGCATAATATTTGATTTATACAAAAAAAAGAAAAAAGAAAAAGAAAAAGAGCAAGTATGATCAATGTTAATAAAGATAAAAATGCAATGAACATTCTTGAAAGGGATTGTTCTATATAAACTAACAACTTATTTAACTAAGAATATTTATTGTAATATAGTTGTACAAAATACACCATTAGATAACATGCCTTTTCAAACAGATTGTACTATACTTTCAAGAGGGTTTTATAATTAGAAATTTTCGTAAAGTTCTAATGACACTCACTATCTGAACCAAATGTAACTATAGAATTTGGACCCCTTTTGTTGGGCCACCTGGGAGCATGAAATGGGCAATGCACCGCCAGGGCATTGATCCAAGTCATGCCACGTAGGCCGATGCGACAGAAACTCGCCAGCTGGAATCGACGACTCTCCTTCGTCAGATCCCAAGTCCGGAAGTCCTCATCGGCGACAGCCAGTCATTCGTTCCAGATCGTTCCAGGGAACCGGTTGGCGCCGGTAGTCGCACGGTGGTCATCATCTCTCGTGATCTCGGCGTCGTGGGTGCTTCGTCGCTCCGGGACCCTCCTCCTCTCTGCTGCTTCTACTGCTCTGCCATTCATTTCATCAGCTGGATTTGTAAGCTCGGTTCGTGTTACTAGTCTTCTCTTCTCCTTGAATTCTTCGTGTTTTTACCTATTTTTTCCTGTACACAGCCATCCGGAATTGAACTGGTTCGTCTTCTGGTTGGGATTCGCAGGTTTAGGGTACCTGTTCTCAGAGGTATTAACTTTTGTCTACCTCAGGTTTTATTTTATTTCATTTTATTTCTTGTGGATGATTGAATTACTGTATTTGAAAACTGGCAGTATAAATTCGTTCCCAAACATTGTTCTTGTAGGTCCTTAACGTTGAATTGTTGGAGTCTTGGTTTATGAGGATTAGGGTTTACGGGCTGTGTGTTTTGCCAGGAGTTTTGATTTTCGATGGGGATTGGTGACGATTCTCGGAGGGAAGGGCAGGCAGGGTGTGTTTAGGCGGTTTTTCTGCAGAATTTGACTTTCTGATAGGTTTTGCATGCGAATTTGGTGCAAAACCCTAAAACCCTTTGCAGGTGGTGAAGATTTGAACAGTGTCATTCACACTACCTTCCAATTGGAAATGCGGTACTGAATGTCGGTTGATGTGATGAAAGTGAACTGATTTTGCGGCAAGAGAGCGTCGGAGACAGTTGGATTTTCTGTGTGATGCGGCTGGCTGGTTTCCGGAAGAACTGTTGAACAAAAGAATGGGCTCTCCTTTAACATGGGCGCGCTACTTCTTGACTAAAATTAGGGTTTCCTTTGCGCAAAGTCTGAGGGTAATGCTTCGTATCTGTTTTCTCGTCTGTTAGTGCAATGAGAAGTGGTTCACTGTGTTGATGTGTTCACCTTACAGACTGGTCGAGCATATTGTGTCTGTTTTAGCAGCGATTTTGCAAATTTTTGCTTGTCTACCTTCACTTTCCTTTGGATTCACACTTTAGATGCGACGATTACAGCACTAAGGTTTGTTTTTTTTTTTGCTGACATGGCATATTCTTTGGATGTTTACAGAGCTATGAGGTAGGAGATATTAAGGAGAAGGAAATTTACGATCATGTCTTTAAGAACGTACTTAAGGGGCGCCTAACTTTCAAGCATATGATTAAAGGTACAGAAATGACTCCCACATTTGCGAGTCAAGGAGAGACATTACTTATTCGCTCTCTTCCGCGACCGAGTCCAAGGTAATCTTCAGACTTTCATTTACAATTTTGCCTGAATATCTAATCTTGTTTGTTTCTTATTAATTTGCTTCTGGGTGGTTTAGAAGTTTGTCTTCCCAATAGTGCACCGGTAATTATCCTTTTTGTGTTTGATCACGATGTTTGAGGTGAATCAAACAGGCATTAAGAAATGAGTTTAGAAATTCTAGCTATCAAAATTGAATGGTTTACACCGCTTGAACCGATAATCTGTTGTTTCTAGCAAATGTTGCACTTCAGGTGTTGAATATACTTTAGTTGTATTTGATTTTTATCGAATTTTTTCACTACCTTAATTTCATGTTGGAGCTGTGCAGATCGGTGTTTGTGGGGGATGTGGTGATGCTGAAGGATCCACAAAATCCAGAAACAAAGTTAGTACGAAGAATTGCAGCATTGGAAGGAGAGGAGATGGTTTCATTGAGTGCTGAAGATGAGCCTTTCAAGCTCGCTCCTGGAACATGTTGGGTGCTTTGTGACAACGAGAGTATAAGTCCCAAGGTATGAATATATTCACACCCGTGTTTAAGCCCAATGATTTCAACTGATCATATCTGAATTGAGGCTTTCAATCATAGTGACTATCAGTGAAATTCGGGGTGAAACACTTAAATTAAGACCACATTTTTTTAAGTATTTTCTAGCATAACACAGAAACACTGTAAATCGAGTCGCTCGATTGTAGCATGAGAAGTGGCATGAAATGAACGCAGACCACATCAGTTTTCTGCCGGGAAGGTGCCTCAGACTGGAAGTTGGCGGCTAATTTGATTATCTTGTAGAGGAAATAATATGAGTGCTTCCTTTTTTGAGAGTGTGGGCTTACAGGAAAGCAGGGATAGTCGGAGTTTTGGACCTTTGCCTTTGAGTAACATAGTCGGGAGGGCCATTTACGGCACACGCTCTCCAGTTGACCATGGTTTTGTGGTGAACAGGTAAGCCTGAAGTTGACCTACTTTTTATACATTTACTATAAATGGCGGTATGTTTTCGTTGCATGTTGGTAACAACGTCTGATTTCCTTGCTAGGATTTTTTATTTTATTTTATTTTATTTTATATGAGCTGCTGTGGTTTTGCGCAAGAATTTTGCAGGAAATTTTATCTGACCACTCAAATCCGATCTTGGCTGGCAGTTATAACATACATTAATTGTTCTTTGAAAACACATGTAAACGTCGCTGTTGAGCACTGCTGACATACTTCCCTTGTATGGCAGTGATGATGCTATGCATGCTGATTCACCAGTATTGGCGGTTGAACTTGACGTTGAAGAACTGACAACCGAGAAGTGATGTTTTGCATTGGTGTGAGGGGTTAATGACTGATTTTAAGATACCTTGTCCAGCAAGAATTTTCACATCTGTAGAGGCTCGGAGGTGAGATGCATGAATCATGAGGTGCTGCATATCGTAGGTGTAGGATATAACCATACAGACTCTGGAGAGAACACCATGTGGTTGCTTGCTGCCATCATCTTCGGCGGCCATTATCACAACTACGTCGGTAGTATCTTTAATCGTATAATTTTTCTTTCGAAATCAGGTAGAAGACTGTCCCATCATTGGTGGAGTCATCGTGCTCGATAGGTGGACAGCCATTCAATGGTTGTGACGACCTATCCTTGTACACGTTCATGGTCACTTGGATGCCTAAATTTGATGTATTTTGCTGCTGCATTCTCTCGTGTGTCTTGTTCCAACCTTGAAGTTGTCGTTCTAGAAGAGATCCAAAATTAGTGTGTGACGATTCTCACGGTGCAGAGTTGTTTCAGAGGCACCCGATTCCCGCTACCTCCACAAATTTGGGGCGTCAGTCATAGTGGATGACTCATCTCACACGTTTATGGATGCAATCAGTGAGATTTATTGGGTGCGGTTCTTTGTCCAGTCCATTAGCAAATCTCTGTTCCGAGTGCACCCGTGTATGTTCGGTTGTTCAATACCCTGCATGAAACTAGGACCACCCTCTTGTCATAGTTACACAACGCTTTCCAACAATTCAATACTCTCATCCCCTATCCGAGATTGCTTCTCCAGCTCAGTTGAGGGGTGCCCCCAATCTGGAGCCCTCCTTTGTCCTTCGCAATTTGACGCTTTTCGTGACAAGTATCTTGCTGGACGTATGAACAGATTACCCTCAGAGGCTATTGGCCAATCTGTTCGTTACAATCACCCTCAAATTCACTCATTGGAGACAGTGGACTTTGTTCGAGCTGGGGGTGGATTCAATAATCACCAGCAATTGAATTTGTCAAATTAACTAGAATAATAACGAAATAAATTCCATATTTGATTTTAAGACAAAAATAAAAATGAATTCATATTCCGCAGGTGTGGATGAAACTGGGACCACCACATAAGATAAAAATAGACAGGGTGGTGAAGGAATTAAGGCAACATTCATGCAATTCTGCCTTGACCAGTCCTCTTACGCCGTGTCACAAGCAGCACATGTCAGCTTGTTTCTAATCCAAATAGTAAGCGAGCAAAGTCAATTTTTAGCATAGCAATATTCTCAGTGCCGTATATTGGCTGCTTGTGGGTGAGCCATGGCCCCATCTTCCAACTGGACGCTCTAGTTTGAGCGGCTGCATAGAAAACTAAGGGGCAAAGCGAGAAAGAGAAAAGAGGGCGAGAGAGCTTAAAAGGAGGGCCCTGGATGGAGAAGAGTCCCACATTGAAGGAGCACCTTCGGCTGGAGGTGCATCAAAAGTAAGCCATTGAGTGATTCTTAAGGAATCTCCGTTTGCAATTAAAATAATGGAATTACTTTTATTAATATAAAAATGTTCTGGAATAATCAGTACTCTAAGAGAATCAATCCCCTTTCAATTCTGGGGTGCAGAATGATGCCATTCATGCTCCGAAAATGCATTCCACTTCTAAAAGGAAGAAAAAATTAAGATTCTGCAGCATAATTTTCACAGATGGCGGTTGATGTGAATATGCAAAAATATGCTACAGCGTGCTCCCCGTCCATCTGTTGGCCTCAATCATCGTTGCTTCCTGGGCCTCCAACACACATTGACAGTAAGACTTTCCCTTGTCTTCTCCCATTTGTTTTTCTTTACTTTTGTCTTTTATATTGTTTTTTCAAAATTCGGATTTATTTTATTTTATTTTTACGAAAATTTACGCCGGGAATGATGATACTGGTTTGCTGGAACTCGCGAGTTTCAAATATGGCCAGACATGTTTCTACAATCAGCACGAGTCAAGGCTCAGCTCAGCTCTGGCACCATCCCCCATGTCAGAGAGAGAGGCTCTAAAATCTGATTCTTTGGAACTACTGGCTTATTCCTTTTTCATTCCTTATTAACAATGCCAGTCAGTCCTCTCACTGCGTTAAGATACGCACCAATTGGGAACTAAGTTACACGATGGAATCAACGCTGGGAACTCTATTATTCAGAGCCTGTTTGTTGCTCACTGTTATTTTCATTCATTCCATGCAAGGAAGGAGAAGGAGGCTTGCCTGCCTGAGGAGGAGGAGGCCACAGCTCATTTTTGCCAGTTTGAAAGGAGCCATGCACAATACAATCAACATTAGACAATCCTCATAAACAGCAAAGCCTCCTAAACACAAAATGAGAGGAGAAAGAAGACAAAAAAACTTAATCCTGTGTGCTCTATTTGAGATTCAAGTATATGATGGAAGATGCTGCTCACATTGCTCAGAGTTATGCCACGCTTTAGGAAATATAACGGCAAAAATACTCCGCAGAAGATATATATATATATAGGTGATGAATTTCTACTCCCATCTTTCTTTTTCTTTTTCTTCTTTTTCTTTCTTTTTTCGAAATCTTTGGAGAAAAATGGAATATTTATTGTTGTCTTCTCTGAGTCCATCGATTAAGGGGGAAATAACTGGATTATTCGTTTTTTTAACTCTACAAATCCCCCCACCCCTCCTACTAGGATTGTGCAAGTGTTTGAACTTGGACTTTTTTGTTTAATTTTTTTATTTAATTTTTTAGTTTTGTATATGGCTGTTGTGGCCGTAGTCTTGGTCCTCACAGGAGGACTAACCAACGTTTGAACCATTGCATCTACAAGAAGCAAAAAACAAAAACAAAAAAAAAAAAAAAAAAAAAAAAAAGGGGGTAGGAAACATTCACAACAATATTCAAATTGATATAATCATTGCACCATTGCAAGTGTATGAAGATATGAACTTTTGAGCGTCAACCGATATTTTCATCTATCAAAGTAAACCAACAAAAAATCAAAAATCAAAAATCAAAGTAACAAATCATCTGCGAAGGATCAAGTTTGAGAATTGTAAGAAAATGGTGAGAATTTGACTCACAGGATACTGAAATGCATGAAAGTGGGCCTGCTCAATATTTACGAAACTCCAAGTTTTAGATTTAATTTTTGGGTGAAACCCTCCCCTTTGCAAATGTAGTCGACGTGGAAGTCTGGGCCAGACCAATTTCAATCCATTCATCTATCAGTACATTCATCCGTCCATCCAAGTAGTAAGGCATTGGATTGACCCACAGGTCTCCACGTCACGTGGCCCTAATTCCAAAGCCACGTTTGCCCTTCGAAGTCCAACTCTCTGGCCAAAGCTGGCTTGCTGCCCTGCCCTGCCCTTTGAACCCTCAGCTGCCCAAAAGTGAAAAGGCACGCTTTCTAGAATTATTTGCCGGGCAGCTCAAAATTCCTACCTGCGGTCCATCGGCGTCAGCAACAATTTTCATGGTGCCCGCTGCCCCTCCCCCCTCATCCTTTAAAGCATTTCACACCTCAATGGAAGTTTCCAATCGATGCGTGTCACATCTGCTGTGGCTGCATTGCTAAAGCAGCCACGCTGGCGTAGCTTACCGCCTTTTGTGAATTTAGTCCAGGTGGCACATGTCCACAAGCAGGGGTTGGTGATAGGGGATCGATCATCTTCCTCATCTGCTTGCCTGCCCCAAAACCGTGCCCAGCATAGTACTTCACCATACCGTTGCCCCGGCTTTACAAGCTATTTTGTGGACACTCTTTTAATTCAGGTTTTTGTTTCTCACTGCATGGAACAAATGTTGCTTACTTGCAAATTGACATGTTTTGTTTAGTTTTAAAATTTGTTGATAGATGGGCAGACGTAGTGGGTTTCCCTTTCTTTGTCTCCACCTTCATCATTTGATTGCGGATGAGTTTTAGTAGAAAGGGAGTTTAATAAATGTGAGTAAATAGAAACACCATGGTAAACCCCATTCTTTTGAAATAACAAAACTTTGAGGGCATTAAATGAGACTGTTATTTTATGACACGAGGTGCACACAAACTATTAAAGGTTTTATAACATGTAAGTATCATGGTATCAATAACCGAAATAAGAAGTATATATATATATATATATATATATTTATTTTAAAGATCTTAGTCATATTTTAAGTAAATTTGTAACCAAATCTATAAGTGATTGTAATAGAAAAGGACTTCATGGTAGCAAAAAAATTCCTCACATCATATTTAAAAGCATATATGAAAGAACCAACATAGACCAACCCCATTAGTGGGTTTCTAATCTATGTGTAGAATAGTATCATAGACAATAAGGACTTGTACACTGGCTTGGATGTAATTAAAAGATTCAATACTCAATACATGTTTTTATACAATTTAGATTTCTCAAGTTAGAATAAATAAGTCATCATATTACATAATTTGGTGTGTATACATAACTCTAGTGGTTTTTACTTTTGCTATAAAGTCTTTTTTGGCAAGATTTTATATAATCCACTTTTTAAGAATTTTATTACCGTCTTACATGAAGTTTAGTCATGCGACTTTTCTGATAGCTTCTAACTTTAAGTCAAGAAGTTTATCTTAATTTTTTAAGAAGTAAAATTATTTATTCTTGTTATTTATTCTTATTATTTATCAAATTGCATGTCTCATAGATGTAGTATTAAATAATAAACCATATATATTTCTGTTTTAAGTTGGTATATCTTCTTTGATAACAGCTAATAATGTGAACTAATTTGGCAAGTATAACTTTGATATCATGTGAAATTTGCTAACTTTTATAAATAATTTCATTACAAATTACAAATACATATGCAAGTGACCAAGCTAATGATAATTTTTTGTAATGATTTTTCAGAAGAATCGGATTTTTTTCAAATTATCTTTCAAAAAAATATTAAAATATCCATTTTGCAATCAAATTTCATAACTTAAAAAGTATACAGTACAAAGGATTGCATTAAACTAAGAAATTAATATTTACTTGATATAATGTTGAATATCTAAATATCAGTATTGATATGGAATTTTCCTGGAAAAGAATGGAAAATGCTGTAGAAAAACCAAATTTGACATTTAAATGATATTTCTTAATTTTTAAATAAAGAAGAAGAGACATATGAATTTCAAGTTCAAATATGCACCACTTGGTATTACCAATTGAGAATCAATCATACCTGATAATGGCCAACTACACAAGGCTTGCATGGAAGTGCAGTTTATATTGCAAAGGTACATGAGCCATGTGAGGAGGTGGAATACTTTGGCTCACATGCTTCCAGAAACAAAAAATATAGAATATAATACTGTAAAACATACAGCCAAATAATGCATTCACACAGAGGAAGCACTCACATACTTTTTAAATACCAAAAACGTTTGACTCACTAAGTTTTCTACCATGTGCTACTTTCCCTTTCCCTTTGCTTTTGCTTTGTATAGCAGACGAAACTCTCTTGTTCCCAAGCGCTCACATCCAGGGAACCCACAAGGGAACAGGCACACCCTAAATGGGGCTGACAGACAGCAGGTGTGAGAAGGGATATATATATATATATATATATTTTCGAAGGAATCATTCTTCTTCCCTTGAACATCAGTTTTATCACATGTTGCGAACTGTAGGCGGGCAGCGTGAGATGAAAAATAACTGCTTCTGCCCATCTGCCCTCCTCCTCCTCCTGATGACAGACCCTGGACAGGCGGGCAGCAGCAGCAGCCCCCCCCACCCGAAGAGGAGGGTATCTACGAAGCATCAAAGTGGGCCCAGAAAAGGCATCATTAGAATATGCTCTGTTCTCTTACATACTGTTATATATATATAGATACCCATGTTGAAAAACAAGAGAGAGAATATTAAAGAGGATACCCACTGCCTAGATTCTTCTCTCTCTGATGCCAAATATCTGTTGATCTTCTTCTTCCTTCTTCTTCTACCTCTGTCAGTCTGCACAAGTCCAGTCAGCAATGGAGGAGGAGAAGGATAGACCCTTTGATGCCATTCATTCCCTCTTTTCTCTCCTTCCATGCTGCTGTTCTAGATTCGCCTGCATACCCCCCATTTTATTTATTTTTGTTTTGTTTTGTTTTCTGTGGTGTATGAATGGATCCTGGTTCTGCAGCAACCCTAAACCCATTTTCAGCTTTTTCAATCAACACCACTCAGTGGACTGCATGTTCTTTCTAAACTGGGCTCCCCAATGCTTGCCCCCCGCTCTCTCTCTTTAACTTTCGCGACACTTTATTAAATGGGTTTTGTTTTAGCATGTGATGATGTCTTTCTCTAGAGCTAAATTAAGACTGTTTCTGGCTCCTGCTGGTGCCTCCAGTACATGAATCTAGTCTGTTGTACAATGTCTAGTGTTAGAGCTGGGATAGAATAAAAAAGGTATTTGTGGATGGCTGTTGCAGGGTTTCAAATCCAACATAAATAAATGGAATCATTGATTCGGGGAGCTTTAGCTTGTTGTTTATGGATTCTAGCATTAAGTAGGGTGAATTTGAAATCATGATGGAGCTAGGGCCATGATTGTGTGATATTTGTAACCATGTGTTTCTTTGTGGAAAAATATAGTTTTGATTGTTTTGCCTAAATAAAAACTTGAAGTGATTACTTGATCTGATGTGTTTGGTTGTGTCCCAGTCAGAGTGATTCATAGAGATAGACTTTGCAAAATTTTAAACATTCCATCTCACAGTCAGTATGTATGCTAAAAATATCAAATATTGCAACTAATTTTATTGCAAAGATTATCATAAATCTTAATATTTATATATACATGTGTACATACGTAAGTTGGATGTAATATTTATCTAGTTGTTAACCTGTCATGGATGATACATTTGAGTATTTCTTAAACAAATACATTTAGTGGTTGCATTAATAGAGCTTTTTCTATTGACCAAATGTGTGCAGGAAAATAGTGTATAACATATAATAGCATGTATATTTTAACATGTCAAAAATTACATAAAACTCAATTACATATATTTCTTTTGAATTGAATTGAAATCAAATGAATATTGTTTGTGATTTGATACTGAGATACACACATAAATATATAAATATATATATATATATATATATATATATTAATCTTGAGTTTAACATGCAAAAAAACCATCCATTACAGAAAGGTATGTAATTTATGCAGGTTTTATTACTCTTTAATGGACTACAATACAATGTTTTTCTAACATCTATCAACTGTGAAGTATTCATTTGCAATTTCTTTCCAAGGCTGCTTTTTGGTTTTGACATTCTTTCCACACAAGCAAACCAATTGAATTGCAAATGGAATAATAATAATAATAATAATAAATAATTAACACACGCACACACTAAAAAAGATTCCAAACATTCATGCACCACTTGCTTTTGTGATTGATATCATATCACAAGAATAGTCGTTGGAGCATAGACCTCAATGGTAATCACCCCATAAAGCCCGACGAATGTTTAACTTCTGATAAGTGATTGGAAAGTTAAAAGTTTGACCTGCCAAAAGTGATAAAAAAATACATGAGAGAGTCACCCCCCGAAGAGGAATAATACTTTCCGTTCCTGCACTCCATGAAGGTTAAATGAAAACACCGAAGGAGGGAGGGATGTTAAAAGCGCTTTCCACAGCCGCGAGGCGCAGCACTATGCCAGAGGGGAGATAGGGGGGGTATCATGGGATCGAATCCGCGCGTAGGCAGGCAGGCGACTATCAGCGCTGCAGTCGCGGGCACAGGGGCATTCTAATAATATGCTGTCGTCAGTACTAAAATTTCTCTCCCGCAGCGGAAATAGGCCAAGGCCGTAGATGACAGCCATTGGAGGGGGACTTTGTTACTACTAAATAACCTTACTACTCCTCGGGGGGGGGGGGGTGGCCCATGCCCGTCACTACGTGGAGGGGGAATATAATAAGGAATCGCGTCTCTGACCCAGCCAGTCGGTAAGTGCAGACCCGGCCCAAGGGGCAGGGACAGGGTGCCCCCGCCGCAACCGCGGCGCATGTGACAGGCTCATAGCTGACCGCAAGATCAGTCAAGACCTGCCCGACGTAGCTGTCCCTTTTGGGGAGGTTTGGTAGGTAGGTAGGTAGGTAGGTAGGTAGGGGGAGGTAGCTAGGTGGCTGCGGTGGGAGGGAAGGCGTAGATCTAATTACTTGCGGCGCGAAGCTTGTTTCTCGCTCTGCTTGCCTTTTTCGTGTCGTTCAGGTCGTCGTGCATCAGCAACCTTCTTGCGCGCTGCTCTGTTCACGCTATGCTACGCTACTCAAGTTGCGAATCTGGTTGGTGGTGCGCCGGATGAGACTTTGTCCTGCGGGGGGCGGAAGAAGATTACTTATTCGCGAAGAATATCAGTTACAGTCCGGACCCTGCGAGGCGGGCCTTGCGGTGTCTGCAATTATTCCGCGGGTTGCGAAAGGGGGAAAGGACCGCTAGGGGGAGAGGGGAATTCGAATTCCTGGAAATTTGTGGGACTGGTCTCTTTGATGTCGGCGTGTGTGTCTTGTGTGGGCGTGATGAGAAGTGGTGGCTTCAAGGCGGTTCACTGGAGGGCTTTAATTAGGTCGCTGAACTGATTCTAGAAGCTAGTGGGTCGTGATTTTTTTTTCTTTTTTTTTTTCTTTTTTTTTCTTTTTCCCGACGGTTGCGAGAGGGAGTGGCTGGTCACCTCTGGATTCATGCTACAGCTGGTCCAGAGGGTAGACGACGAGGAGTTGGCCGACTCCTCTTCCTCAGCCGCGGGTGTTTCAACGTAGCTTTGTAATTTCCAGGGTTTGTCAAGTTTGGATCGGTCTGCAAGCGGCGTTCTGTGATTGGGAAGCTTTGCTGCTGAGCGGAAGGATTTGGTCTTGGCGGATCTAGTTGGGCTTGATCCTCTTTTCTCCATTCACAAATTGTCGTAGCTGATCCGAACCCACAGAGCCTGCTGGTGCTCCTTCTGCCAGCATATGGTACATTTCAGTAGTAGTCATGGTTTTTGTTTTGCTGTGCTCCTCGCCCCCATTCTCCAGAGATTATTTGAGCACTTTTCGCCTATTCGATGTGCTGAGAGCGTTCTCAAGGTAATCACAATAGCTCCCTACAGCCAGCCCGTCTTTAAGCTTGGCGAGTACGTGGTTATGCATTTCGGTGAAGTCATTTCCTAGATCCAAACCCTTCGCCTCCGCCCATCACAAATGTCTCATGGCTGCGGTGTGGCCAATGAATCTTTCCACCATTGGGTAGGTTGTGGGCACTGCAGTCCACTTCAGAAACGTCTCGGTGCATGCTAGAGTACCAAGGAACTTCCAGTGTCATTGGAATCTTAAAATTTCCCTCTCCACCTTCCTTTAACAAAATTAACCCTCTCACCACATAGTGACGCTAACGCAGAGCTACGTCTAGCAACAGCGCGGTTGAGATTACTTCCAAGCTTCAACTTGGGAAATTCGACTGGACTTTTTCCTGAAGTCCGCACATCGCAATCGGTGAACTGATTGCATCAAAGAACACCTTGGAAATGTACCAAATCAAGAAGTATCCAAATCCTGGAATGAATCCACATAGGCAGCAGCAGATTATGTCTTTTCAAGACAGAGGTCCATCTATGTATGCTTCTCACATGTCTGGCGATTTGAGCCCTACCGACCCCAAACCTCGGCTTCGATGGACTCCCGAGCTGCACGAACGATTTGTGGATGCTGTGAATCAGTTAGGTGGCGCTGACAGTAAGTTATACTCCTTCCTCTACTTATCTTTCGCAAATCCTCCACATGTGATTGCATCGTTGAGTTTAGTATAGAAGCTCTCAGATAGGTGTCTACTTACTATCTTTCACAGATAATCTTCAATCCTTGAAGAATTGGTACTGTGAGAGATTTCAAGTGGTCTTAGCATTTTTCTATGTGGCCAATTCGGAACACAGTGCTCTTTATTTCACTGGTGTTTAATTCTTGAGTTGTGGAAGGTGATGAGAAAAGAAAAGAAAAGCATTTGAAAGGGGTCATGGATTGCGCCACTGAAACCTCATGTTATGTCTTTGAGCCTCAACGTCAGTTCAACTTGTACCCAATTCTAGGGTCCACGACATATACTAACTCCAGCAGTGACTAGTTAATTCCGAATATAGATTGAAAATGCAGCAGCATCAGACCTTGGATCATTTATCTGTCTCTAGCTCTTAGGCTGTACAGTCTCGGTTGTTCAACTAAATCATTTTTCGTAACTGATGTGTGTGAAATACTGCTTGTTCTTAAGTAGGGACGGTGATCGTCATATCGCGATATTCAACAGTATTGGAACATAGTGCAGTAATCACAATGCATCAGTTTAAAAGAGTCTGTTGCGTACCTAGCTCACACATAGTCGTATGTCACATCTGAAATAGTGCTGGTGCAAATTGTGTAAGTGTGGAATTTAGTTCTCTCTAGATGTAAAATGCTTTCTACATGAAATTCCCTCATCAATTTGTATATGATGCCCTTATTTCTCTTTGCACACTCTTGATAAAGTCACTCACATGTTAATTAAATACTTGCTTCAATGATGCAGAGGCAACCCCAAAATCTGTCATGCGGGTGATGGGTGTCAAAGGTCTCACTCTTTATCATTTAAAAAGCCATCTCCAGGTGAGATTGCTGTCTTTATCTCTTTTCTATTTTGTTTTATTTTGTTTTGTTTGTTTGTTTGTGTTTTTTTCCCCTTTTTTCCTTTCACAACCTCCCTCGTGTTCTGAGTATTTGCACTAGCATCGACTGTGCAGTTAGTGCTCATGAGTTCTGGGACGTGTGAGAACCGATCTGTGACTTTGAGAATGTTTGTTCACTTTGTATATTAAAGCTCTTGTTTTTTCACTTGCAGAAGTTTAGACTTGGGAAGCAGCTGCAGAGAGATTCACATGAAGCGAACAAAGATGCGACTTATGGTATCAAATCTGTACAGCTTCTGCGTATATAGGTCGATATTCAGGGACATGTTGCAAATCCTGTACCTTTTTACACTTTGACGGGACAAACCTTACTGATAGTCTGTGGAATTTTGACAGGATCTTCACACCTGAGAGGAACGTCGTCTGACAGTAAATTCTCACCTGCAAATCATCAAAATCCTCAAGAGTATGTCACTGTAGCTTGCTCTATTATTATTATATGCTATTTCACATTGATTGGAGTTTTTTTTCATCTTTCTCGTCATCTCACTAGAATGTTAAGGTGGGCTTCTTTTGACAAACTTAGTCGATGGTCTATCTCAACTTGTTGGGAACCGTAGGACACGTACAGCTCTTGGTCGTAGAGTAATTTTATTAAGTGGCCGACAGGAAGGGTCAGACATGATAAACAGAGACTAAGGTGATGTGTCATTTACATCATGGAAGTTGAAAAGCTGCGACATAACATTTATGCTTGCTAATGTGCTTGTAGTGAGTACGTCAACGTAAACGAGGCTCTGCAGCTTCAAATGGCTGCTCAAATCCGACTGCAAGAGCAGCTCGAGGTTCAGAAGCAGCTACAACAACGGATCGAAGCACAGGGAAAATACTTGCAATCGATCCTGGAGAAGGCGAAGGAGACTCTGGCCGACCACACTTCGGCATCTCCGGTACTGAAGGAAGTCCATGAAGAGCTCACGACACTGGCGTCCAAAGTTATCAACTACGAGGCTCCGAAACCAGCTTTTGAGTCTATCAAGTTGCCAGGTTTGAACCCTCCTGAGCTATCACACAAACATGGAACAGCCGACTCGCAAGGCGATATCCCACATGCTGCCCACAATCTGCAGCAGCAGCAGTCGCGCGTACAGTCAGGCGCCGTGTCCCAAAAATCCTTCCTCGCGAATCTCTCTACAAACCAGGAAGACAATGGAAGCGAGCGGCAGACTGGTACAGGTAAGACCATTCTGAAATGCTCATTATTTGTGTGTTTCTTTACCAATGAGTGGATGACGGTGGTTTTGGTGAGAGTCCGTGTCCACAATGCTCCTCAATCATGGGTCTCACGAGGCAACAAATATACTAGTTGGGTGTCCAACTGCTGGTTATAAGCTTGTTCCAGCGGGCAAGGTTTCGGTTGCATGAGCTTGTCTCTGACAATAGAGCGCGTATCATACAAAGATGCCTTGAGAGTGATCTTCCAAACCTGGGATGGCTGCATGCTCACTGCCGGCAGGCTTGCAGGCGACCAGGAATGATCTAGGTGCTGACAGGCTTGCAAGAAGGGCTACAATGAAGGATGAGCCTCCTCGTGGAATGTGTTTGGTGGCACAGTTTTATTGAATGCTGGGAATTGGGGGTTGGGAAATTACAGAAGGAGGTAGCAATTGTTCCAGTCATGACGCATTCACGGTGGAGAACGGCGTCTCAGGTTCAGCATTTGAGAGACCTCCACCTCGCAACGCTCCCTCACCCGCCGACCACCGCGACAATAACACCAGCTCTGGAGGATATAGTTGGCCCTCCGCTGCATCTTGTCACGGCAACATCATGACGGCACCGCCGAATCGACTGGTTGCACCCCAACGTGTCAAGGCCGAGGCATCCTCTCTTGACCTCAACAATCACGGCAGCAATGGCAATGGCAATGCAACGCCGTTCCAAGGCAACAAGGGTGGGCTGGATCTGAATGCCTTCGGCTGGGAGCAGCGTTGATGCGCTTTCGTAACACAATCTTCTCTTCTTCTACCCATCCCAAACTTCTTTCTCTCTCTCTCTCTCTCTCTTTTGTGTTTCCTTCATCACGAGTCTTCTCTCCAGTTCTAGAATCCACCACAATCTGTTTCTCCGACTCATGAACATCCTGCGTCTCTGGCTGGCTGGCTTGCATCCGCATCCACTGAGTATGTGACAACTACATATATAATCTGATTTTCTGATGCACATGTTTTTGAATAGGTTTGCCACCCACTTACTCCGTAGCGCCTGCTTTTTTGTATTCTAGGGTGCACAAATGACTGAGTTGGCCGTGGGGAACCCTTTTAGGAAACTTGGAAGCTTTGTAGGAAAGATGGCAACAGTGCACACATCTGGTTAGATTGTGAGGTACTGAACAGTTTCTCTCTATCCACGCCCTCCTCCTCCTCTTCTTCGTCTTCTTCTTCTTAACAAAGTTGTTATGTTCTTACGACTCTTTGAGTTGTGAACACTGTCATGTAGCTGTAAAATTATATATATCGGATACCTGGATAAATAAAATTACTGCTGAATATAAGGAGCCTTGCATTGACATGCTGACGTCGACCGTGAGTCTGGAGACTGGCGTGAGAACCAAACCAATGCATATTTGGGTTTTAATTTTTTTTAAAATTTCATTGTGGATTTGATAAACGAAAAATGAGTGAGTAGTATATCGATGACGATTTGTTCATGAACAGTCTGTTTTCTTACATGGAGTTGTGCTCTATGTTGTTTGGGTGCGTAACTTTGTAATGAAAAGGAAATAGGTGAACTGAAGAAAATGCCTTTAACCATTTCATGTTGAATAAAAGGTTTTTATAATTTTTACATTGCTTTTTTGATTGACAGTTCTAATTTATATAGCATGGTGTAGAATTGAAGTGTATACATTTTCTTCCCAAATGCCAGGATGTGTCACTGTTGAGAAGGCGAACTAACGTCTAAAAAAAGCAGTTTTTGTGAGGTTTTTGTCACTTTGCTTTACAATTTGAAGGTTTCATTCTTATGTGGTTCTGTCTTGAAATCTGTCTTGAAATCTGTTATACTAAGTTTTTGTGAAATTGTAGTGTAATGTTGATGACAGGTATGAAAATGAATAAATGAATGAATTTAAATACATAAATATGAATATAAATGAATAATATATATATATATATATATCTATATATATCTATATATATATATATATATATATACAAAAATATATCATTTCCTACAAAAATATCATACAATAGTTTTATTTTATTTAAGTTCCATATAACTATTATAAGCATAATTGTAGATAAATGCAAGAATTGTGTAAGATATGCAATATTTATTTATATATATATATATATATATATATATGTATATTTTTGTATATAATATTTTTTATGAATTGAAGTAGTTATTATGATTTAACATATATTATACATCTATCTTTAAAAAATAGACATAAATTTCAATTGAACTTGTTATAATTTTTAAATATTAAATTATTTATGGTTTGCAATGAGCTTATCACCAAAAAAATCAACCCTTAGACTAGGTAGTTTGGAAGATTAATTTTAAAAATCAATTTGCTATTGTTATTAATCTAATTAAATAGTTTGAACATGACTAAAACTTTTGAAAATACTTGCTTAGTATGATTGTCCAATCTAATAGATGGTCAAATATAAGCAAATGTCACCCTTGTTGAGAAAAACCCACAAGAAAAAGTTTTATAAAATCATATTTTATATAAATGCTTACATAAGCATTTGATCCCAATTGGGTTCAAACCCAAAATGAAAATATATGAATCTCTATAACTATCTATGGACTCTATGGCTCTTAATAAATTTACAAAATGTGCAAAGTTTTATAAAATAAATAAATAATGCATTATATTCCTTACCTATTGCATTTGATGGTAGTAGGTTGGAGATAGGTTACTCAACCTTGCAAATAGAATTTTGCATAATTATTTTTATTTGACTTTTGATTATTTCTGTTTTGCAAAGCCTTGAAATAACTTAGATAATAGGAAGTTAGAGTTATACAAACCACCCTTAAAGTTGTCTAAAAATGAGTGTTTTTTGATGGATTCTCATCTATTTAAGTTTGAGCCATCTGTACTATTTTGTCCCTTGCTCATTCCTCAAAGCTTAAAGAAAGCAAACAAGCTTTAAGTAAGGAACAAAGCCTTATCATAAACATATAAAGATGCATTTTTTTAAATTACCAAAAGCTTGACAACAAGGCATATAAGGATTATATAAACATGGAGATAGTTGATTTAAATGTTTGTGGTAATAACATAAACATGGTCATATATATTAATCAGATTTATTATTATTATTTTAAACTTATACCTTCTCACAAGTTGTTGTTTTAATTACTTTAGGCTAATCTTTTTCTCAACTTCAACTATTAAATATCCATGGATTTTCAAATTAGTTAGACATGTTGGATTTTTAAAACTTGTTTGATTTATTTAGTTGGAATTTATATGTTTTGTCTCTCTTAATGTCTAGTATAGAAGTAAATTTCGCAAAAGCTAATAAGCTATATTGAGATAATTCAAAGTAATATTTAAAGGATGATGGTTAATATGAAGATTTCAAATATATTTGCTTAGTTTAACTTTATGTAGTTTGATATATGTAGTTTGATTCTCTAATTTTTAAAATATAAAATATTGCAATCTTATTTCTAAATATGTGTATTAGTTATTGTTATTCTTCTTTTTGTGTATTTGAAGCATCAATTTGGTTTAGATATTCTAAATTGTATTTGATGTATTAAAAAAAAAAATACTAATTGTGTATTTTATAACTAGATGTTTTTTTAGTTTACAATACATATACAGATATATACATAATAATAATAATAATATAAATAAATAAATAAACAAATAAACATGTATATATATTATTAATTTATTAATAATGATATTAAAATTTGTATATTTGCATAAGAGAGTGATAAAAACGTTTACTTATATTATAAAATAGACCATAGTAAGTTAGGTTTTAAAAATAAAAGATTCCTTAAAATAATGATGTTAAATGTAAATATGATGTTTAATGAAAACACAAATCTAGGCAAGTTATTTGTTGACATTTATAAAATGAATAATAACATCATTAAAAAATTCATTAATTTTTTTTGACCCAACGTTATTTTAAACGTAAATACTTGTAAGTTAAAATATTTGTTACAAGGTAACAAATACTTTCTTATCTTAGTCACACAAACGATAAGAAAAAGACAATATATTGATAGCATTTGAAAACAGGCTGTATAATTTCATATTATTTGCAGTTATAGATTCTTAGTGATGTGCATTTACAACACAATTGATCAAACATTGTCCCTAATCCTCATCATTTAACAAACTATCTCATATAATTGCCAATTTATATAGAATGATGTTGCAAGCTAAGAATTAAAGAATTATTCATAGTATCAGAGGTTATCAGTTACACCTAATATAGCTGTAACACGTACAGGAAAAGTAGGACAAACCTTTGTAGCGAAATTGAAGGACATCCACCCACGTCGAGCATTTTCAGGTATAATAATCAAACCAATTCAGATGATTCATGTCCAGAAGTGTACAGGCACCAGTATATCGTCTTTCAGGGAAAGGCATGAACGATACCTCTCGCATCACACCACAAGATATGACAATGATTGTTCAGCACCTAAATCTGGATATGAACCCAGTACTATTGCAAAACCAAACATATGCTGTATAGGAATAAGAGAAAGGACACAAGCACACCCCACCAAAGGAGGTCAAATCTTTCCAGAGTTATCAAGGCACGGATTTGAGATGCAGTGCTTAACCCACATACTAGTAACAATCCAATTCTCTGTACTACGCTAAACCTATACTGTGCATAAGACAATCAATAGCTCGGAAAAGATCCATGACGCTACAGTACATTTTGGCTAGAATTCGTCCACCTCAATCCCGTCCCGTAAAATGATGTAAGCATCTCGTGGCCGAGACTTGTTCATGCTCGAGACGAAGACCACCTTAGTAGCATCCGGCTTTTCCATGGTAACTGATATCACCTTGGACCACATCATCAAGATCTTGGTCTTCATACCCTCGATGTTTTTAAGCACGCCCGTTGACAGGACCCCTGTCACTCTCTTATCATACCGCACAATTGATTCGTCTCTGAACTTCACCTCACAAACAAAAGGAAGAAAGACAGCTAGCTTTCCAGTGGCTTCATCGAACTCATACTTCAGAACGTTCTTCGGGAAGACACCCTTAGGGATTTGGTACTTCTGTAATAGCTCTGGCAGTGGTGTCTGAACTCTGCCTGTCCAATACAACCCAGAGGCGTCATTACAAGACCAAGCTAAAATTTAGTGTAATATTTTTTTCTATGCCACCCACAAGGAACAGTGAAATGTATAACAACTTCATTAAACGATACAACGCCGAAACGACGTAAAACACTTGTCAACAGAAACAACCAGACATGAAAGTCAATACTTCCAGGGGTAACACGAGCTTAATAAGTGATGCAGATCTGGATGCGACATGCAACATACTCGGGGCTCATCAAATTTATAATGTAGGAAAGAGGCACCTTGTAAGCGACTTATAAAGCGTGAGGTGCCTTCTGATATGCTGTTGGAGAGCGACTGAGTTCATAAAACGAAAAAAATAATGTTAGACGCAAAATGAATGCTATTTACAAAACATGCACAGGTCGTGCGAAAAGCGAAAACGAAAATATAGTTGCCGGTGTTCAAATTCAGGTCTAAAAATTGATTGCTGTGGACGGCGAGCCCAATACGGTGAAGAAATATCGAGTTTGTAAGTGTAGTAAATTTTTAATTATATGGATCGGAAATCCTCGAAACCTAAAAAAGCCCTACACAATGTCAGACCCTGCATGAAAACTTCCACATAGAAATAACTAACCTAATTCTTAAAACTACGCCAAAAATTATTTTCAAAGTGTGCCAAGCATCACTCACACCAATCCAGAGAGTGCAGAAAAGAAAGACATCAACTCTGCCGCACAAAAGACAGAGCGAGAGAAATACAGAAAGAGAACGGGATTTGAAGGTGTATCATATTACATCAAATCAGACGATCGCATGCAACAAGGAACAGTAACAGAATCGGAGCGAAAATTCACAAACCGAGGCGTCGTTGGCTATGGTATCTGAAATATTCGAGGCTTTTCGAGCGAACAGGAAACTCCCCGCCTTGCCCAAAATGCTGTCCATGACCTCACCACCTTCTGCTCAGCACCACTCCCGGAATTGCAAAATCACCTGCACCTCACCAGGCGAAAATCCCCCTCTAATCACCTCGCCTCGCCAACCCTACCAACCCAAGCAAGATTATATCACCCCCTTCCAGCCCAATTCCTTCTCCTCAACCCCACCAACACTCACACACTCTCTCTCTCTCTCTCTCTCTCTCTCTCTCGCTCTCTCTCTCCTGAAGTGTGCAACCCCGAAAAGCATTCGCAAGCAATCAAATGCTGCGAGGAAACGAAACCCACAACGCCCTCCGACGTGAAGAACAGCGATCGATCGATCGTCCTGCGCAAGAGCACACCTGTCTGCTCTCCTCGTAGAATTGTGTCGCAGAAACCTCTCCATTCAATTGACTAACTCCGCCATTTTGGACCGTTGGATTGCAGCTTCCGATCGGATGCGATATCAACCGTTGATCGGATTTCGGGGAACGGAGGGAGGGAACATAAGGGAACCAGGGGGCGGGCAGGCAGGTTGGGAACTGAGAAGCCAATCCTGATTGGGCCCGCACTGATACACATTGACATACATGGGTGCTGAATTTTGTTCAGGGGCTGCCTCTCTATCCCACTTTTCAACCATCCCTCTTGCTTCAAACAATTCTTTTCAAAGTATTTATTTACAACGTAACCCTGAGGAGGAGAGTGATGCAGATGCCTTTACTACTTACTCAGATGACTCTTTCTTTTTTTACTTTTTGTGTGGCTAAGCTGGGCATGGCATTGGATGACCTTTCTCATTATGTACATTAATACATATATATATATATATATATCAGTATTAAAGTTACAATAAAATAAAATTTAAATAAAATAAAATAAATAATTATAAAAATTAAACTATAAACTAACTTAAATATACCTCACAACTTCAATCATGTTATCTTATCTTTTCTAATACAATTGTATATGTGTAGAAGAAATTGCATATGTTTTTAAAAGATACAAAAATAACAACACAAAAGATACCATGAAGGTTTTTATATTACTCTTATTTATTTTAATTATTGATTAAAATCAATATGTATCACAAAACTAATGATGTTTCAATATGGTTTTTATATTATGCTTTTCACCTATTTTGTTATTGTAACTATAATTAAGGGGTTTAATTTAAATATAACATTTGTATAAAAGAAAACCTTTAACCTGATTTTTCAATATATGCATATATAAAAATATTTTTAATTTATTTAATTTTTAAATGTAAATTGAATAAAAACTACTATTATTAAAAATATGTATCTTATCATCTTATGTATATATATCTATATCTATATATATCTATATCTATATATATATATATATATATTACTTTAAAATAAATTCCATTAAATGCAACTTAGAAACATCTTTGAATTATATTATATGTATATGCAAACACAAAATCTTATTTTTCTTCAATTTTTTTTATTTCATTTACTTCTTTTGAGGTTATATATATATATATATATATATATATATATATGATTATTTAATTTTATTATCTTTAATGTTATACAAATGTCTTATAATGCTACAAAACAAATTTGTAACTTAGATCTTTTTCCAATTTATAATGTTTAATACGAATTTGATTTTACATTTTTCCAGCAACACTTCAATTGCAACTATTTGCTATTTTAGGACTTTTTTTCATAAAATTAAAATCCATTATTTTTTTTATTAAAATAACACATGTTATTTAGTTTTAAAAATGATCTAAACAGGCATATTTATATTTTTTTTCTTTTTTTTATTTGGATCAATATATTATATGTTAATGCAATGTTAAATTTTCAAAATTATTTTTAAAAAATTTTAATTTAGTTTTATGAAATAAATTTTTTATAATATATTTAATAAAAAATTCTAATAGTACCTAAACTTTTTATGAGTTGCCATAATTCTTCTTGAAAACAAAAGTTTTCATTTTTGGAATTTGTTCTTGTCCATTATTTCAATTTATCTTCAATTCTTTGTGAGATGAACATAATCAAATCTATTAGGGACATTTCACATTTAAGAAAAAAGATATGAGAGGTTGCAATTTTCAAATGTTTTAAATGGTTAAAATTGAGAAGCTTTTTTGAGTTAGCTTTTATTCAGCAAAATGGATTCAAAGGTCTTAAAATAGTTGAGGTGGATTTTATATATATTTTTTGTATAATATGAATAGTATTGTCTTTTGGAAATTTTTATTGAATCTATTTTAAATAAGTAGTTTTTTATCAAAAAAATTAAGAATTTATATAAAGAAATCTTAAAATAACCATTAAAAATAAAAGAAGTAGAATTTTAATACTTTTAATAATTTTTAAAATTTAGATATAAGCCAATATGTATATACTTGTAATAAGAATATAATTATATCAATATTATACATTCTTATTACTTAGTATTATGTTTGAAGATCAAGATTTTTAAAAAAGGATATTTCTTTACCAAACAAGAGACTTTGGTAAAGCTATTAAATCATAGCCTTTTAATATGGGTTATTAAATATAAAGTATCTCTTGGTGAGTTTTATTTTGTAAGACTACATTAGCAAACTTCTACTAGTACTAAGTGTCACAAACATACATAATTATCTAGATTTAATAATATCTTGTAAAGAAGCTTCTTAGAAGCTATCTAAATACAGATTTGAATTTATATATATTTGTAGGTGATTGGTAGGTTCAAAACTTAGCCAATAAGTTGGCCAAGTATTATACATGTTGGCGACTTATGTTACAAATAAGCCATGAGGCGCACATATAGAAAATTTGTCTTTCATTAGACATGTGTCTTGCAAGTTGGACATGTGTTGGAGATCTTAAAAAACGTTGCTACATAGCTCCTATTTAAATAGTGTATATGAAGGCAAGAATGAAGCCATTTTTTTTTTTTTTTTTTTTTTTTTCCTATTTTCGAGTCTCTAATTTTCATGTCTTTGATAATAGCCATTCTAATTTAATATTATATCATCTTTGAGGAATTATCTACTATTTTTTAATAACACAAGAGTGTACTAATCTTTTGGCTCCTTGTGATTTATAAATTTGAGATTAAATTTGTATATATTACAATATTAGAATGTAACATATATACATGTTTATTTTCGACATAAATTTTTTTGCATATAAAAAAAATTATTTCACTTAATTAAATTTTATTCAAGTATAGATATTGAATCAAGCTTATTGTACTTATTCTTAATTTATTGGTTTCTAGGATGTTTTTTTTTATATTAATTTTCATAAAATATGCACTGATTTTTTCTATAAATCTTAAGGTCTAGATAAAAAATTATTTTTATTTATTATAGAAGAATATTTGCAATAATTGATCTAAAATTTTAATTTTTTTTTAAAAAAAAATACAACAAAATAAAACAAACTTCTTTAGACCAAAATTTAACTTGTTTATGATTCTATGATTTTTGATTTATTATTCTTAAATGGTAAATATTATTATATTTAGAGACAAAAAATACTTTAGATATTTTACATATAATGCATTAAATTATGCAATGAGACTTCATATTATTATTAATGACATAAATGACAATAAAGCTTTAAAAAATAATGTACTTTTATATTTTTGAAAGAGAAAAAGTAGATAAATAAGAAATAGGTATATGATATAATAAAATTAAAATTGCTATTGCTAATCACAAATAAGCTAGAACTTTTGAAACCAAGATTAGAAAATAAAAATCATATTAACAGGATTAAAAATAGCCATAGATTTTCTTTTTTATATATATACTAGCTATTATAAAACTCTTATAGAAGCTTTCTAGGAACTATAAGGCTTATGATTTAAGTGCCAAATTGTAGGTTGTTTTCAATACAACTTCACAAAACTATAAAACTTATATGACAAGTTTTAATTGCCATGTGGCATATTTGTAGGAATTCAAATATTTAATTTGAGTTTTAAAAACTTCCAAACAGTTTTTTAAGAAAGATATCACATATCTAAGATTTTTTTATATACTTTTATTTATTTTTATTTATTTAAGTACTTTAGTGTTAAATTTTCCAATTATCTTAATAAAATAATTAAATTTATAAAAACTAGATAATAAAAAATATGTAGATTAATAAAAAAATAAAAAAATAAAATACTAGATCCACTTGACATCTAGACAATAGAACATTAAAATCTTAAGTAAGCTAGAAATATCCTACCATTTCTAATATCAAAAATCTTAGCCAAATCAAGATCTAAATTGCTGAATATAAGATAAGCCAAAAATATTTGACCTACTTAAATACAAAATATCTAAGTTAGATCAAATTAAGATAAAATAATAAGTAGCCATATAAATAAAGATGGTTCCCTGCTATAATTAAAGAATAGTAGTTTTATTATACAATAAGATTAGATTGAAGTATTTTTATTTATTTATTTATTTATTTTATAATTATTGTTATTCTATTGAATTAAATTCTCATCCAAAAAACTTATATATTTGTTATTTTTTTATGTTGTTTCTGTCATACTCTTGTCTTTCACATTTTGATCAAAATAATGTTATATGGAGTCCAACTCATAACTTTGGTTGATGCAAAATTCTTCACAATAAAGGATTTTTCTTTAATTTATTTATTTTGGCAAAGTCAATAGCATTGAATAGTATTATAGATTGGCATTTGATACAAGATAATACAATACAAAGAAATTTAGAATTAATTATTAAGTCTTCTTTGAATTCACAAGAAAATTTGGCTAAACTCCAAATTACCAAATTTCAAATAAATATACATCAAGAAGCTTTGATTGGAGGTTGTATGAAAAAAATTCAAATATTAAACTAAAGATAATAAGATTTTGTTTTTTTCTATCCTTATATTTTTATATTTTTAATATAAATTATTTTTTTGACACAAATATATATATATATATATATATATATATATATTGGTTTTTTTAATAAATATAATATTTAAAGTTAATATTTGATAATCATGCTTTAAATTTTAATTTCAACAAAAATGACTATCATTGCAACATCTGCAATAATATTAGACCATGACCATGCACCAAGCAACAATAATTGTATCTACTTACTTGTGCTTGCATTTGAAAGTTCAACATTACTCTTTATCAAAAAATCCTATACTAAAAAGCTATTAATCCAATTGAAAGACTTTTTATTTCTATTGTATATATAGGCCACATCTCTTCCAATCTTTAAAAATTTTAACTACCATTTTTGATGGCAAACCTTATAGCAAAAATTTCTTCTTATTTTTGAGAGGCTTAACAATTCATTTAATTCAAATGCATACCACTTAAATCTTCTATATATCCTACATTGTCTACTATACTACTTCTATACATAAATATATTTCCTATTATTGCTTGAAAGACAATCAATATGGTTATTTATTACCAAAGCATATTTTCAATAAAATACATATAAAAGCTTTGAAACATCATCAATTTTAGTAAAAAAACATAGAAATCCAATAAACTTGGTTGATTTGAGAACAACTTCTAAGATACTTATTAGTACAAGTGATTTATTACCTATACTATAATGAATCTAATTCACTCATTCAAAGATGCATTGGTTGCATTCCAACTTTGATACTAAGACATTTCTAATAACATCCTAGCTTACATTTAATTTTCTGATATGCACCAATTTACAATTGATTTTTTTTACAATTACAACAAGTACATGATATTATAATTAATATAAATTAAAATCCTTCTTATTGAAGTATATGTATTAAATAACTTTTTAGCCACATTATTAGAATATACATGTATTACAATGGTTGGTCTTTATGACAACATCTTATTCAAAGTCTTATACTTTACAAATTAGCTTAAAGATATATTATTCAAATTATATTTTTTTATTATTAATTCTTAATACAAAATTCTATGCAAATAATATCATAGATGTAATAAGCTTTGCTACACTAAGATTAATTATTTTTGCAATTCAATTTTTTTTTTTTATTTGATCAAAAGACATCTCTTCTTTTAAACTTGTGGTAGTTGTTTTGGTTTCATTCCACAATCAAACTATGTCCTATATAAATTGCAAAAAAATTCCAATGATTTTGATATAAATTATGAAATACTTTTAATTATTATATTTATTCTAAATTCTATATTTAGAATCAAACTTTTGATGCTATCTTAGATACTATTTACCATAACAAACATCCTACTCCACCACTTGACTCATATTTGATTAATACTATTGATTTTTGTCACTTTGGCTTTACAATTTGTAATATAGTCCATTTTGCTACAATTATTCTTCTACTAAAACCATCTACATGCAACTAAACTATATCAAAAGAGCTCTACAATGAACTCATGGAGACTATTAGTACCATGCAACCATTTGATTTGACATGTTTGAAATATTTGATATCTTAATTGTATCTTATTTTTAAACCACAAAAAATAATAATAATAATAATAATTAGAGTTTTTTTTCCTAATACATCCTAGGCCATATAGAAGACATTTCACTCACCTTAATTGTGCCAAACTCATCAATCTTATCCCTATAATTAATCATTTTAAAACCAACTATGTACATATGCAATTCCTACAAGCAAAAGAATTAATTTTGACAATTAATGTTGTTGCCATAGATTGCCACCTCTTTATAATCACTATTTATATTGACAACACAACCATCTCCAAAACCTTACTTAATAAAGGTTTTAGTACCAATGTTTTTACTAAGAAAGAAATCTACTTCTACTAATTCTATCTTTTGGTATCTATCCTATTTAATATACAAATAACAAACATTCTATTGTTCACTTACTTAGTCTTATTTGCAATTTCACCATTCAAATTCATGAGATTGTATACAAAAGTCAACTTCACAATGATTAAAAACACAAAGATGATACTCAGCTATCAATTCTTTCTCAACTATCTTTGACTAAAAGATGTCCACTTTATCTAAAACTAAACTAACAACAATGTCAAAATCATCGACAATGCTCAATATTGTTACCATAGATCAAAGCTTAGATTCAATATCACTATTTTAAAAATTCTTTGTAGGTATAATATGGTAGAAGGCCTAATTAATAAGAAAGAAGTAATAATATTAGCATGCAATGATATTTATCTTGAAAGTACAATCAATAATTTTTCAATTTGTCAATTCTAATCATTTTGATGTATTAATCCTTTATTGCCAAAGAAAAATCTTTATTGACAAAATATTGATCTGCAAAGACATATTTAGTCTTCAAATCACCAAATAGAACTAAATTGAGGATATCATATCATGCTTATTTAATTTGGAAATCAAAGAAGATCTTTAAATTATTTAAATCAATGCCTACTTTTTATCTAAGTAAGCCATTGCCTCAATATCATTATTCAACCATTACAAGAATATCTTTCATAGTCTTATATCAATATTTTTGGTATATTCCTAAAACTAGTCAAATATTGAATCAAATTCAATATCTCTATTGTTTCTTTCTACCAAGTATAGTACCACATGAATCCCAATTATGCAAAGGCCATCCACAATTTAACACCAAATTCATTCAACCAATTAATCAAATCTCTAGCCTTTTTTTATTTTTGTCATTTCTTAGAAAAATAATAAACTTCAAATTCGTGAAAATTTTTGCTACATCAATAACACCACTTGAAACGATCCATATCCACTTTTATTCTCCAAAAAAGTTGTAGACAAAGTTTTAAGCCACAAAATGTATTTGATTCTTCACAGATTTGTCATTTTAATAGGTATAACTACTTTTTGATGTTAGAATGTTGTCAAAGCTGAAGGTGTCCATTCATGTTCAATGCACAAGTTAAAGCTATGTGTTGAGGTTTGAAACAGAATTGGGATGTTGCAAGAGCTAAAAGTATTTATTGGTTTGAGGTATTGTTATGAGGGTAGTAGAGCAAAGTTATTAAATTGGTTTGTATGATATTCTTGGAATTGTTCTATTGTAGAGCAAAACCTGTCAAATGTACTAATAGGTAACGCCCGAAATGTGTCAGAAGTATCTTCCAGGAATTTCGTATCCTGTTAGAATATTGTGCCCAATTTAGTCCAAGATGTTGGATTATCGTTACCGTTCAAAGTTACTTAGAAGAGCAAAAAGGAGCGAATGTTGCGAACAACATTGAGCGACAGAGCGGAAATCATCATTCCAAATCCAAGTTGCTAAAAGAATGTCGATGTCCGGCATCGGTTACTGCAGCACATGCGGGACCCGACGCCAAGAACAAATGTTTCGACGCTTTGGAACAGAATCCCCATGTGTAGCAGAAAGGACTTATGTAACATGAAAATCGTATTCAGATTAAAACTCAGGACGTACTCGTCGACTGAGTGCCTCAGACAAACAATGTCATATTCATAGACAACATACTGAACACATGGCGTACGTTTCCAAACTGATCAGTACTCTTAACAAGTACTCATGCTGTACAGTGAAACAATTTGAACACTTCCTGCGTCAACTGATATGTGTGGCGCTTTCTATCGCTGGAGTCCACCAGATCTAGAGGATGTAGGTGAAGATAGCGTACAAGGGAGCAACGAACAGCAGAATGATGCCAATAGTGTGGCTCACACCGCGGGATTCTGCGAATGCGGGACGGCAGCCTCCAGCATTGCTGATGTGCTGAACCAAAAGATAAGCGCCAATAATTACGGAGATAACCTCTGCATAGACGCTTGTGCGGTATTCGACGAGCAACTTGGGGGCAGTGACGATGAGGAGGATGAAGGCGGCAGGCAGCTCCAAATCACCTGGAATTAATTCGAAAAACGTATTGTCAGATCTTGCAATCGCCAACTAGCGTAAAAAGCAGCATCAAGGCAGCTTCGACGTAATCTCCATAGGGAGATTGTGATGAGGGGATTCAAATTGCCTACCATGGATAGACTGAGGCAACTGGGAGGCGAAGAAGAGGCGTATCACCACGGCAATGAAGGCAATCCACAGACCAACGTTGCCCCTGCACAATTCAAGACAATTTCAGCAACAGTTATTAGAGCATGAACACTTAATCTAAATAAGACGAGTAGAATCCCCTTGAAATTTCCTACCAGGGTAAGAACGTTTACATACCTCAAGAAGTCGAAGATGAAGCCTGGCAGCTGCAGGGCCAAGTAGGGTACGAGCAGGGCGGTCAACAAGTTTGTCCTCCAGTTGGTTCTGTCCAACACCAACAGATAGCTGCACAAGACAAACGCGACAAGTGTGAGGCATATCACGTGCAGTGGGTGATATCGGACCGCGACTTAAACGCTACTCACAACAGATATGACATGAGTGACACATGCCTGACGTTTCGTAAGCCATAGCTGCAGATTTTGACTGTGTTAAGATCGATCAACAGAATACACTCTCTAATGTACGCAAGGCCAAAACCACTTCATGTTAAATCTACACCCATTAAACTTCTAATTGGGTTCTCGACGAAGATGGAGCGACATGTATAACGGTGTGAAAATTAGAGTTCAAATGCTAAGACGGGAGAAGTTCGAAACGTCAACCCAACTGACAGTCAGTAGGAGGAGTGGAGCCTGGCCTAGAAACCGGAATACAATCCTTTTCTTAGAAAGACGAGAGTACTCGCTAAAGAGATAGAACATGTATTCAATACGACTAACCATGATTCTCAGATTCACGATTAGTTTGATAAGAAATCCTCGGGTACGAAGCAAAAAAGCAATGGTAGCAACACTGATCTAACCACGACCCACCAAATAGCTCACCACGCAAAGAACATCCACAGTGAAAATATGCAAGCCTCTACAGCACATCGTTACAGGACTCACATGGCAGCAATAACGGCAAGCCACTGCAAAATGTCGCCCCAGGTACGGCCGAGTCCAAGAGCAAGCAGGGCGTGTGAGCTCAAGTTGCTCAAGGCCTCCCCGACAGCCTGCCAGTCCTGATCAAGCGACACGGCCGCGGCTTGACTGGTCACCATGTCGATACCAAAAGTTGGGGCCACCATTTTCGCACACACAACTCTTCGATCCCCAAAACACTGGTCAGTAAGTGACCTGGGAGTTCTCTCGACAGCGCAATGCAGGAAGCGGAAGTGGGAAGTGTGAGGGCTGTCAGCACCCTTTGGAGATCAATAGACGAGGCCAGTGGGTGGATCTCTCCAGGTCAGGCTGCCAGGCTGGTGCCCTTGCGTGGCAGCCAGCGAGAAATCCTCTGATTCGGGGCCACTGGCTTTTGCGGCGAATCTGACTTGAGATGCCGCTGGTTTTACCACATCGGATGCATGTGTCGCAACTGAAAATGTTGTGAATGTGTGTGTTGGAGTCGTTTTGGTGACTCATTGGCACATGGGCACACTACTTTTTTGCAACAGAAAATGTGTTGGGAGGTCTTCAGCTCCCACATTCTCAGGCCTCAACTGGCACACGAGCAATCCACCCAACCCGAAGGGCATTGTCGCTCTCTTTCATGAGTTTGGATTGTCAGAAGAAGCATTAGCAAATCCAAACTTGAACAACATTTAAACTCACTGTTCCACCAGATCAAGATCATTCCACCCTGAACTTGCCGATGGAGCGCGAGCATTCCAGTCACAAACACGGGGAGAAAAAAAGGTGCTCCACCGAGCCCTTGGAAACAGTAAGAAACAAGCGTTTTTACTCCACTACGGAGGATTCATTCGGTAAATGAAAAATCGCCTCTTGGTATCAACAGCGCCCCTCCAATGATTGATAAAGAGAAATATCGTAGCTGAGGATGTACTAGCACAAAAGTAATCACATGCATTAAAAGCCCCATCTTTTAATTCCTAGTGCATATGACACTGTGGACATACTCTTCAACCCGATAAGCCATTTCATTTCGGAAACAATAACCTTTCGCAGAGCCGACTCAGCTTCTGTTTGTGATCCTTTTTTTTCTTTTTTGCAAGAATTGATCCCGGTTCGACTTCCTGAGTCTCGAATTAGACTTCAAAATCTCCACGTGAACATACACACACGCACAAACCTAGGGGGAAGGGTTGGTAAATGATCCCTCATCCCTCTTCATCCCAGAAGCAGCTGTTATTCACCAAAATCGCGTCGTCAACATCTGGGAGCGAGTGCAGAAGTAGCCCGCAACAGCAGCAGCAGCTTCAAAATCGGGAGGGAACATGCGCACAAGCATTTCGTGCGATCCGTGCGAGCCCTGCATAGGATTCCACGAGAGTGCGACGCTGCGAGTGGGCATATGCGGATCATCCTCGGTTCCTTGCAAGGTTTCATTCAATTTGGATTGGAAGTGCTGCTGGAATCTTCCCGAGCATGGTTTGTCTGATTCCAGCAGCACCAGTAAATCTCCCTCCCTTGCTGAGGCTGCTGCTGCTGCTGCTAATGCGGCGATGGACGATCGATGGACAGTGAGAATTCGACAAAGACGCGGCGATGGGAGATTCGCCGCGGCGTTAGGGGCGAGCGCGGAGAACCAAGGCCCTTCGACACGCTCAATGCTGCGTGAGACCTGAAGGGAAGGGAAGGAAGGGAGGGAGGAAGATTCCGGATAAGCTCGGAGCCGACGCGAGGTCGAATCTCTGACTGCCGCGTTTAGTGGCGCTAAAGGACGAAGACGTCCACGCTGTCAATCCTTCCACCCGACACGGGGGCAGACGTGGAGGGCGACGTGGCTGGATTAGATAGATACCTTCCTCGCGTTTCTAATTAGGACTTTCCCTCCAACGGGCGCCGTCGTCCGGTTTTGATCGTTGTTGGGCTTCAGCCACGGCGACACTCCGCATTATATTCTCAATGCCGTCATCGTTTTTGTCTGCGGGTAGGGTGGTTCAATTTTTTTTTGTGTCTGCCTGGAGGAAAAATACTTTGTTGTTACTTTTGGCTTGTTTTATATTTTCTTTAAATAGATATATTTAATTATGATATTGTGTGTATTAATAGGCTTTGAAGGTTTTGGATTGCATTGCAATTCACCACTTCAAGACCAAGAATTCTTGATAGGAGAATATTTACATTCTTTAGAATCAAAATGACAACAATCTCATACCCAACTCACATAACCAAATCAAAGTATTTTCAGATTAAACCAAACTCTTGGACAATTTCATTTTTTAGTTATAATATTCTGTAGAACTAAATAAATTCTATCACCTTTGTGTATTACAACCCTAAAAATAATGCCCAAATAAAAAAATTAATCTTGTTTTTATTTTTATTTTTTATACATGATTTACTAGATTCAGAATTTTTTGAAGGTTATAATAAAAAAATAATTGTGAATCTAGTAATTCTACAATTGTTTGAAAAATAAAATTATCGATTTGAAATTTTAATTTAATAATCTAAGCTTGCTATAAATGAAACAAAATATTCACAAACATTTAGGTATTAAAGGTGATAATTGCACTTTGCCATATTAAAATTAAAGTCAAGATTTCAGATAGTTAAAAGAGTATAGAAAAATCAATTTAAAGTAAACAGATTGTTTGAAGAATGCTGTTATTTAACTTGGCGAATTCAAGATTAAAATGGTTTTTTGTGCAGCTTTATAGTACAAATATATTAACATCATTGCTTAGATCCAAAACTATTCTTCGAAAACTATGAAACCAATTGTTCTTGTAGAATACATTTTATAGAGAACAATATTGAGTCTGCTCAGTTATTATATAATCAAATTTTTACAGATATTATATTGGAAATAATGACAACTACTATGTATTTGTAAACATGTTTTTTTAATGTACTAGCTTTAAAGAAACTAAATAAAATATACAACTATAAAAAGTATATAAGAACTTGTTTTTTGTATTTTGAAGTAATGCACAATTTTTTATAAATCAAACAAGTATAAGATGAAAAATTGCAATTCTATTGTACATATATGATACTTTAATTTTTGAATAATAATATCAAACTACATTACGTTTGAATATCCTAAACAAAAGATCAATAGTAATAATATTGTTACAATTTATACACTTGTTTAAATTATATTGATATAATCTTATCAATTTTGACCGAGATAATTTAATATCACATAAAAAATTAAATTATATGTGATTTTTACAAATTAGTATTGTAATTACAATATTAAATTATATGTGATTTTTACAAATTAGTATGTAAAAATCACATATACATACACTTATATAATTTATCAAAATATTCTCAATGAAAATTAATGTTAAATTGTTTTTTTGATTCTATAGATCTAATTTTATATAGAATAGCTATCATTAAAATAAAAATAGTAATAACAATAATAATAATATGATTTTATAATATCATATTTAAGACTACAAAAAATATATAATCTTATAATTATTATGGATTTACAATATATATTATTTTTTATTTTAAAATAATGTATTTATTTTCTTTTCCATAAAACAATCTAAATTGAATTCAAAAGCAGACCAATAGTTTGTTTTTACAATTTTTTTTATTGAACAACTTTACTTTTAAATGATTGTATTATTTAAATTAAAAATTATTCCACTTATTTACAATATATTTACTATTTAAATCCAAACATATATTTAAACTCTTCTATGCATGTTTTTTTTAATAATTATTTCTTTGAAACTTAAAAGTTTTATTTAACACATTTATGAGTCTTAAAATAGTGTAAATATACAATATTATTGTATTCTAATAAACCACACTACTTTCATATAATTTAAACATATTTTGTGCTATATTGTCTTTACTATATATAATTTTTTGATTCTACAAAACTCGAATATTTATAGATACCACTATTTTAAGGATTCAAAAAAATGTGGTAAAAATATGACGTTTTTATTATGCCTTTTATTATCATAATGAAGCTAAATATGTCTAATCTGAGTTACATTGTGTATGATGTCTTTGTGCATTGAAAGTATCCTTAAACTTCTTAAACTTCTTAAGATATGATTCAATCTAGTTAATATCCTCCATTTGTACATGTAGTCTAGCAGCATCCATTACCGTAAGAATATACAAAAGAGTTATCGTGAGGAAACTGTGCAGGTTAAAAGAAAACAAAAATCGAAAACTTACCATAGGTCAAAAGAATTTAAGTCGTTCGAAAATCTTCTACTTATTAGTGACTTTTCATATTCAAAACTGGTTTTTCTTTCATTATTTTGACACAAAACGTAGAGGGGTACTAATCTTGGAGTGTGTATGTGTGTACTGTACAACAAAGCCATCCAGCACTCCAGCTTCCAAACGTGGTAGTTTGGCGATGGTCCCTCCTCACGTACGACCCCACACTGCTCATAAAATGGCGTTGTTCCGTGATTTTCCACATAACAACAACTCATGGACTGTAAATACCTTGATATGGAGGACACCACTCATGGACAATGCACCTGTGAACGCTTCGGGTTAATCTACGATATTCTCTAGTCAGGCCTACCGGTTTCTGCATGCTGTTCCCTCTAATCAAAATCCCAGTGAAGTGAAGAACATGAAAGTGAGTATTGTAGTGGCCTATTAAGTGGGTATCCAAGATCCTTGTCAGAAAGCATTGTGAAGACACTCAGCTGGAATTCCATGTGAACATCTCGTGCAAGGATAGCTCGGTAACACTGAGTAAATCAATCCACGACAAATACTCATCTTGATGGAGAGGTAGATGATGATGATGATAACTATATTTCATTAAAACAATTATCTTCCACGATAGTAATAAAGAGGTCTCTGAACTAAGCTAACTGATCCCGAAACTGAAATCTAGGGTGTGCTTCCGAGACATCTCAAGTGGGGACAGAGGATCGTACCGCAATCCGCACAATTAGATGCGTGTCCCATAACAGAAGTTCGTATATTACAAGCATCGGTTAAACTTGATGCATCTATTTGTTTCCTTTTGCCTCAACCTTAGCTTTCTTCTTCCTCTCCTTCAGAAGCTCAATTTTAGCCGCTTTCTTAGCTTGGCCCATCTTGGCGGCATCATACAGACCCCGAGCTTTCCGCGTCATCATCATCCTTCCCATTCGGACGGCCTCGTCTGCTTCTGGAACAACTGCTGGAGCAGCATCACTCTTCTGATCATCTTCTTCGGGAGCAGTTTCTGCTTTTCTTTTCAGCGAGGCAGAATACGAGATACCAGCAATCTCCTTGCTCAAGTCCTGGGTAAATGACTTTTCAAGTTTCACATTTACATCAGTCTTGGACGTCTCCGTTGCTGCATTAGCATCATCAGGTTTCTCAAATATTGGTAAGTCATCTGATGTAGCCGCTTGCATCCTCTTGATTGTTTCAGCGTACTCAGGCATGTAACCTTCCGCTTCGGCATCTACGAACGGTGAGAGATGCGGTGGGCAAATCTTACCCACTAGATATGCATCTGTAGGCAACAAGAATTTGTTGTTCACGCTATCAAAAATCCACTGCGGTTGCACATACTCTCTAGACAGAAATTTGTGGCCTTGCGTAGGTCTGTCCACAATTTGATGAGTGATGAATTCATCGGACTCAGGAAAGGGAGCTCCCTCGCCATCCCAGGAAACAGTGCCTCCAAAAGACCGAATAACAAAAAGCAACGCTTCTCTGGGCACTTCTCTACCTAGGAAAAACTTCGACCCCTTGAATATATTGACCGAGGGGTCCAAGTCTTCGTCCTCAGGCTCCTTGGTCGCTTCTGTGTTAAGGACTGGGGATTCTTGTTCAGTATCAATCGCCAAGAGCCTACTGTGCAATGATGCAAGCCTAGCTTGCGACTCTACAGCTCGAGGATCTTCCTCTGCCATCTCAGTGTCATTGTCACCTCCATCAGTCTTAGGTGTGTCCTCTATCACCGGAGCAGCCGAAGCAAGACCCTTCATCAATCCGTAAAGCTCATTGGCCGCCTTCTCGAGCTTGTCATCGAGAATTGGAGGATACCGCAACCCCAACTCGTGGTAGAGCTTGAAATTCACGAACCCAACCAGGGTCTTGTAAAATTCCAGGAAAGTCAGCATGACGCGGAAGTCGACATCTGATGGCAAAACCTGACTCGTGCAATGTGGAGTCAGCCATGTGATATTCTGCCCTCCAACTTCAGCTTGATAATACACTCCCTTCACTGACACAAAAACTTTCCGCAAAGCTCTAACTCGTATACAATATGCTTGCCACTGCAGAGACAACTTGCGTGCACTTTCAATGTGCTCCGGCCTGATCTTCTGACTGTTGTCAGCAGGCAGCCACGCAAACAGATGAAGAATTGTAAGAGGATCGTCAAGGTCGCGAAGTGCATCAACGAAAGAAGGATACCTCTCTTTCACGAGATGATTTAGGTTCCATTCAGGTTTGCGGCCCAGCAAGCGCTCTACTAAATCAAAATTTCTCTTAGCCCGTGCCTTCACAATCTTCTTCTCATACGCTTTCAGCTCCCGGCTTCGGTTCAAAAGAGGCTCGTGAGCCAGAAACGCAATATCCTTAACATGGTAATAGGTCTTGTTGTGTCCCTCTACTTTCTTCTTAGGTTCCCGAGGATGAATCCCTTTTAAAATGCACAAACGCCGAAACTCGGGAAGCTTGATTTGCAAGCGATTCAACGCCTTGTTACGCGTTATGTACTTAGCTGCATTTCCCTCCTTACGCTGCTTCGGTGCGAGGTACTGCTTCGACTTGGACTTATGCTTCGTTGCCCTCGTCATTGAATACAGCAACTCAAAACCACCGACCTAGCAAAAACCCTAACAGAGACAGCGCATAAAATCTCAGCACCAAACTTGCAGAGAAAAAAATTACCACAAGGAAAACGCTTCAACACTCAAAGGAAGAGGTTAGAGAAAGTAAAATAAGCTGAAAGCAAGTCACGCGCATGTGAAAAAGAAGCCAAACGCAACTCGCCAACCATTACCACACCAAACAAACGACATGCTTCTCAACAAATTCACACACGAAGAATTGAGAGAAAGAAATTACCTCTCAAGACAAAGGCGGAATTCGACTAGTTGAGGGGATCCAAGAGCGGCAAATGAGACGGAGACGACGGCGAATGAAACCCCCCGCGCGGCACAGCAACGCAACGCAGTCCCGAAAGCACAAGACTGTGGCTTCGCCGGAACTTGTTGTAGAGTCTGGCTGGCCGAGGAGGAGGGCCAGTGGTTTAGGGTTTAAGCGGCGCGCTCATGAGCCCCAGTACCCGGGTATCTGAACGTGGTATAGTCTCTATTTCGGTTATACATTTCATGCCGCCCCCACGGGCGGGTATGGTCCGGGATTGTACCGGGCCTCAACTAATTCATGAACTTTGTAAAATTAAAAATAAACAAAATTGTTAGGTGGACAATCCCTGTACCAATAAAACAATGGCAATACAAAGTGGTAGAGAGGTAAGAGGGAGTTGTATTCTCTCCTTTGATATCAAGCACTAGTACAACCATGGTTGCTATACAACTTAATATAATATTGATGGATATTTGACAAGAAGACATTCAACCAATTTGGTTTAACATCATGTTCAGAAGTGCCATAATTATGATTTTTCCTAAGAGACTAAAGGAATCATATAATGATATGCAGATTCTAGTATTATATTTGGATAAAAGTATATAAATAAGTCTTGTTGCCAAAATTAAATCCTTACTTATTTGTATGCTTGTATAATGGATTAATTTGCAAGTAGGATTTAAAAAAATCGTGTACCTTGTCATTGGTGAAATTGATCTTAAAAACTATGTTCGTTTTTGTCTATTTTCATTTATTTTAAAAATAAAAATAAGATATAGAAGCTTTTTCTTTTTTCTTTTTCCTCATATAGTTCTGAAAATCAGAACTTGTAACTAATTTTTTGAAAATAATATATATATATATATATATATATATATATATATATAAACATACGTCATTTATCATCAATAGAAGGTTATACAATTAAACATGTTATGTGCAAATGTCTTAACATTCATTTTTTAAAGATAATAATAAAATACAAGTGACATGTTTTTACAGAAAATAGTTAAAATGCAAATTTCAACTTATCCATTTTAAATTCTAATTTATTAGACTGTGATTGATGATAAATATTTTTCTTTCAAAACCAAAACACTAAAAGATGCTTCTAAGAACAAGTCCATAATTCACATAACAACAAAGAAGAAAAAGATAAAAAAGTCAAAAAGAAAAGTGGAGTAATTCTCACGGTTTGCCCTAAAACTACAGTGAACATCACAAATTAAACTCCATCCAGGTGAACCCAGTTGATGTTGTCTGTGCTGATGCTAATGGATGGATGATAATTGTCACAGTCCCCGATGTACAGAGTTTTTCAAAGTTATAGTGGCTTTATATTTAATAGTGTTGGATACAGTTGGTCTGGAAGGACAAGTTTTGGCTTTATATTTAATAGTGTCTGGAAGGACAAGTTTTGAGCTTGTCATGTTGTATGGTTGTTATTGTAAAAAATCCTATTATTTGATCAATATAAATAAATATAAATATATGTGTATCTTGTAAGGAAAAAGAAATTAGTTAAAATTGCATGTTACTTAATTAGTGTCTCTATGTTTGTTGTACAACACCATCATCATCACACATAGAAATAATTCTTCCTTTACATTTTTAAATAATTTAGTCACAATAATATTACCAATGTGAATCAGGTCTCTATATATATGTGATGAATGTATGATACATTGATTGTTTAATGACTATGTGTCAATGAACATTTCAACAAAAATATTCTATAGTGATACATGTGGACTTAGTATCATGAGCCTTTTGACAATGATAGATGTAACTTAGTTATCTTTGCACTCTCGTTGTCCAAAAACAAAGTAGCATCTTTATTGACATAATTTGACTAGATTAATATGATTTTTTTTTTCACTTGAAAAATGACACATGTTCTAAAGTACAATATTATCTATTATATTTAAATAAATATTAATTAAAAATAATATTATATATATATAATAAAAAATATTTTTTATTCAATAGTAATCTGTATAACAAATACATTTGTTGTATGCCAATAATCTGCTTATATTTTATGTTATTTTTATAAAAAATTATACTAAAAAAATAAACTTTTTTAAAGATTTGGTGGCTATTAAGGTATTTTTTTATTTTTATTAATTTATTTACAAATATTTTTCGAATTTAATAATTTCCATCAATCACTTTCATTTTTGATTTGTACAAATGTATAAATTGTACAATTGCTTATGTATCTTTATTAAGATGTCATAATTTCTAAGTATCACTCCAAAATGCCCTATGTCTTTTCATATTATAAACTTCTAATAAAAAAAGGTGCATATTATATTAATATTAATAAAAATTTAATCAAAATTAAACATGATAATTAATAAAATTGAATGATTTAAAAATATTATTTTTTATGATTTATGAGAAAATTCTACTAAGTGTAAAATGTAATATATAGATTCTTTGTTTATTAATATAATGTTTTTTAGATTAATACTAAAATATGCATTTTTGTATTATAAAATATAACCAAAAGCTAAAAGATATTTCTAAAATAATAATCTAGTACATACAAAATTATAGAATTTTTTAGATATAACATAATACTTTTCAATCACTTCTTTGGCTTTAGTATTCTAAATATTTTAAATATTTTAAGAAATAGAGAATTTTATAATTTATTATCATCTATTTTTTTTATTAATTTTAGTTATTTTATTTTCTATATATATAATTACATCTAAAAAATATACATAATTTTTTACTTCATTAGAAATCAATCAAATTTATTCAGTCTACTATTTATTTATTATTTTTAGGAACTAACCACTCAAGTACTTTATTATGCATACTTCATAATATTCAAAATTTTTATTTTATTTATTTATTTAATTTTTAGTATATTTAATTTTTTTATATTTAATATTTATTTTAAAAAAAATGCTTCATAATTCATAAAATTAAAATCCAAATACATTCATGGATATAAGTAATATAATTTAAATATTTATTTCTAAAAAAAATTAAATAAATAAGAAAAAAAAAGAAAAGAAGTTTGCTTTTATTATACCAAAGTACATATTGCATAAAGATCTGTTTACTATATGAATTAAAGAACCATGAATTTATAATTACTTTGGACCTATGTTTATTTACTTGAAATAATGTGATTACAAATCTTAATAATAGTAATGTAATGCTTTTAAAGAGATTTAAATCCTAAATCATATTTGAATCAATAAATATGTATATAATATACCCTAAAAATCTATTAGTTGATGCAAAAGTCTCAACCATGGTTAAAATAAATATCTTATAATTTTGCATAATTTGTATTGGTTTGAAAGAATTTTTTTGATGCCAACTTGAAGATGTGTGAATGCAAGAATTTGCTTGTTGTAGAGCTATGATTTATAGAGAGTAAATAATATGTTGGGTATTTGGTTGTTCTTTTTGCTTTGCTACAATGGACAATAGAGCTATTCATGCGACTTAGTTTTTGAGTAATTTTTATCTTTCTAATCTCAATTATCAAGGTGTCTATTTTCTAAAGTGAAACATTTCTATCATTCTAAGGTCTAACAACTATTTTAATACTTAAAAAACCTTAAAACATTGTTGGTATATTGTTTGTATTGTTTGAGCTTGTATATGCCTTTTTTAGCCATCTTCTAAGTTTAAGTGGTTGTATCTATGTCTTATATATAAAAATACTTTGTCTTGGTATGTGGAGAGTGATTTGTCTATATTATACATGTAGTCATTGCTAACAATGTTAGTAATTGTGAATATTAAGATTGTTATTAGTAGAATGTGGATTGTGATCATAGTCTTTATTTTGGTTGTAGGTAGTAGCGAGCAATAGTGGAATTGATTATGTAACACTATATTTTCTTTGAATTATTCTTTATTTTTCATTCTATATCCTTGCTAATATTGGCATAGTTCTTTTTATTGGACTTGATAGCATGCTTGTGTCAATGAATTTTACCAAAAAAGATTTGTTGCTACAATCAATTTGTCTATGTCTTTATTTAATGTTGGGTGTAAAATTAGGTATGACCATGCTTGTTGTTGTGTAAGATGAAGGACAAATTTTTGTGGTAGTAATTAAGACAAGGATATCATCTTTTATTTGAGCAGCTATGGATTGATAAAAGTATTGCATTTAGTCCATATTGTCCAATATATATATATATATATATATATATATATATATATTGTAGTTGTACTAATAGATGTCTAATAAAGTGATGAAGCTCTTGCCAAGCTTCTAAGCCAATTTATATTGTTTTTTTTTTTTTGTAAGATTTCTATAACATTTGACTTCTGTGGTAAGAGACTTGGTTCTTATTGAAGCTACATTTGGTGCACCATATATTCTACAATATGAGCATCTCTGAAATGAACCATAGGATTTCTCAAGTGATTTTTACCATATTTATTAGTATCATGTGATTCTTTAGATTTGTAGAATCTAACATGCTATGTAACATATTATCTTAGTTTTTGAGCAAAGATAGTTGGTTTAAGTTGTTAAAATTGTTGTATAGGTTCCAAATTGGTTTGATGGCAAGACAATTCTAGAGTGTATTGTCAAATTATATGAAGTTTAGTTTGAAAATGTATCAAACACATAATTGTAGAAGGTAAATAGGAAATTCCAAGAATAAGGTCCCAATAAGTCTAATTGAATTTAAAGCAAATTTCAATTAAATCTTAAAAATCTTAATTAAATTTTAATTAAATCCAAAAGTTGTTTTAAAGAAATTACAAAAAAGACATAAAAAGTTGTAAATTAATCTAAAAAAATATTATAATTAAATTTTTTAAATAAATAAGAAATAATTCTAAAGAAATATTAATAACAAAAAATCCTAATAAATTCTAAATAAATTCTAATCAAGCTCTTATGAAATTGTAATAAATCTTAACCAAATCCTAGAAAATTTCTAAAAAAATCATAATAAATCTTAATTAAATCTTAATTAAATCATAAAAAATTCTAATCAAATCTTATATAAATTTAAGTAAATTATAAATAATTTTTAATCAATTCCTATGATTAATTTAAAATCCCAAAAGATATTAATTAAATTATTTATTTCAACTAAAAATTCACTCATATTTTAATATATAAGCAAATAATAAGCATATAAAA